AAGGTTGCAGGAACAGCAACTCATATTCCGCTTGGGAACCCTGCAGCCCAATGGTATCAATGTGGATTTCACAAGTTTCAAAATCTCCCCTCCCCCCACCGCATCCCAAAACCAGTCCAACTCGTCCCTGCCTCCCTAACCTGTTCTTCCTCCCACCTATCCCCTCCTCCCACCTCAAGCCGCACCTCCATCTCCTACCGACCAACCTCATCCCGCCCCCTTGACCTGTCCGTCCTCCCTGGACTGACCTATCCCCTTCCTAACTCCCTACCTACACTCACCTTTACTGGCTCCATCCCCGCCTCTTCGACCTGTTTGTTTCCTCTCCACCTATCCTCTCCTCTATCCCTCTTCTATCCGCCTCCCACTCTCTCCCTATTTATTTCAAAACCCCCTTCCCCTCCCCCTTTTCTGATGAAGGGTCTAGGCCCGAAACGTCAGCCTCTCTGCTCCTATGATGCTGCTTGGCCTGCTGTGTTCATCCAGCCCTGCACCTTGTTGTCTCGGATTCTCCAGCATCTGCAGTTCCTACTATCTCAGGTTGCAGATTCAGTTAGTATTGAGCAATCTGATCCCAAAAGTGTTAACTACAAGCCTGCCCTAATTAACCATAATGATCCAGGAAGAAGGAGGGAGAAAAAGTCAACTATGAAGGGTCTAGGCCCGAAACGTCAGCCTTCCTGCTCCTATGATGCTGCTTGGCCTGCTGTGTTCATCCAGCTCTACGCTTTGTTATCTTAGAGTCCCCATATAACACTTTTCAAAAGTCTACATGTAAGGACATCAACTAAACATATACTTGCCACTCGCTTGAGGGATAGACCTGCAAAAGTACTGGAAAGTTGCAAATGCCAGTATACCTGAAGAAATGTCCATCTCTTTGGCAGGTGAAAGGTAGGCAGTAAACAAAATAACATTCACTGAAAGGTGTACAATTCCAGCAACACGACAAAGTTCAGATCAGAGAATACACAGACTCATAGGTACAAATGGAAAAACTGATTCCATTCCTGCAGACTATAACTTGTTAGATAATACAGAAGAAGCAGCAGCGCATTTTCTTCGAATCATTCCTGGTTCCAGAAAGAAAGTCACTGGTTGACCTGTAAAAATAAATGAAACATTCATAAATTTCACAGCAAGAGAGCATACAGAGCAACAAGTATGATATAACTCACTCAGTTTAATCAGAACTGCTTGTGCTTGCAATATAATAAAGAATAATGAACCTGCTGTGTTTTCCCTTGAAGAGCTTTAGCACAATGATGATATCCCTACCGCTGGGCCAGGTTGCCTGGCCTCAAGTCACACCTGCTCCAGAAGTTGTCACAACATGACTGAACAGGTTGGTTAAAAAAATCCACTGTTCTTTCCACATCATCTGGCTTAACTTCGACAAATTTATGTTAAACCACTATTTAACAGCCCCAACCTTCTGGGCTCAGGGATATTTATAGTATTCATCATAGGGTGTGGGCGTCCCTCTGTGCCAGTGTTTATTTCCCATCCCTAGCTATTTTTGAAAGGGTAGCGATGAAAATTTGCACTTTCAGTTTTCTATATATCAACATTATTAATGAGTATTTGTGTCACTGTTTTTATCTCCAACAACTTAAACAAACCCTAGAAAAGCACTTGTGGCCATGGAGCAAACATTAGTTGTTGCACCATGGATTCCACCAGGAAGACTGGAAGTTGATCGGAATCCACAACAGTCCCGTAACAGCTAGCTATCTATGATCACATGACAGCTGACCAATTAATAGAAGTGGGGCATGGAGTCCATCCAAATATGTAACACTGACGGGATTCAGTGTAGGAATGCCACCATCCGGTGATTTCAGTCCATGATCTGATACCATTTCTAAACAGCAGACAAGCCTTGTTTGCACACTCCCAAGACTTCTGAAAGCTAGTGAGTCAGAGGAGTAAATCAAACCGGAAGACTCTAGCATCGTTTACAGTGATATTTTTAATTAATAGGATACACCAGAGTTGAAATATCCATCTCTAATCTCAGAGGGAGAGTAAAATTTGCAGTCAGAAACTGTGCACTATGAGAAGGATGTCTCTGCTATACAGAAAAAATATTCCCATAGTTCAGCTCCAGGCAATCTATGAACAGTGAGATATATTGGTCATAGCTGACAGTCACATCAAGCTAGACTCACCTTCCAAAGGGAATTGAGAGACTGTTTTGTGCTTTGTTTCATTTAGACGTGGCTCATGCCTGCTACATCTGCCTGTGCCTTAAAGCCATGGATGAACCAAGAGTTCCACTCCCTAAAGAAGTCTAGGTCTAAAGTATACAAGAGGGCATCCCTGACCTATACAGGAAATCCAGGTACGACCTTTATAAGGCTAAAGACGCCAAGCGGTAATACCAAACTAAGCTCGAGACCCAGACCAACCACACAGACACCTGTTGTTTGTGGCAAGGCTTACACAACATAACAGGCTACAAAGTGAAGTCAGGCAGAATCATGGGCAGCAATACATCCTTACACGACGGGCTCAATACATTCTATGGTCACTTTGAACAGAAGGTCAATGAACAATATCACCTGTCCCAACAGCCCCAGATGCAGCTGTACCAATAGTGACCACCGCAGATGTTAGATTGGCCTTCTGGAGAGTGAAGCCACAGAAAATGACTGGCCCAGATGGAGTCCCCGGCCATGCACTCAGATCCTGTGTGGACCAGCAGGCAGGAATAATTGTTGACATCTTTAACCTCTCCTTATTATGATCTGAAGTCCCCACCTGCTTCAAGAAGACCACCATCATCCTGGTGCCAAAGAAAAATCATGCAACATGCCTCAATGACTATCACCCAGTGGCTCTGACCTCCGTAATTATGAAGTGCTTTGAGAGGTTAGTCATGGCTCACGTCAACTCCAGCCTACCAACTGCCTTGATTAGATGCCATCTACTTGGCCCTACACTCATCCCTGGAACATCTGGATAATAATGATACATATGTCAGGTTCCTACTTATTGACTACAGCTCTGCCTTCAACCTAGGTCTCGTCTTCCCCTCTGTAACTGGATCCTTGGCTTCCAGACCAATAGACCACAATCAGTAAGAATAGGCGACAACACCTCCTCCATCATATTCCTCAACACTGATGCCCCACAAGGCTGTGTACTCAGTCCTCAACTATACTCCTTGTACATTCATGACTGTGTAACGAAATCCCACTCCAATTCCATTCACAAGTTTGCTGACGACGTCTTTGTAGGTTGAAACTCAAACAACGATAAGACACAATACAGGAAAGAGACCGAGTGCTTAGTGGCATAGTGTAAAGACAACAATCTCTCCATCAATGTCAGCAAAATGAAGGAGCCTTTCATTGACTTCAAGAAGTGGAATGGAGGGCACACCCTTGTCTGCAACAATGGTACTGAGGTGGAGATGGTTGAGAACATCAAGATCCTGGGAGTGATGATCACCAAAAATCTGTCCTGGTCCACCCACATTGAAGCGAAGGTCAAGAAAGCACAAGAATGCCTCCACTTCCTCATAAGGCTAAGAAAATTTAACATGTCCACAAACATTCTTACCAATTTTTATAGATGCACTGTAGAATGCATCCTGTCTGGATGCATCACAGCGTGGTATGGCAACTGCTCTTCCGAAGACTGCAAGAAACTGCAGACAGCGGTGAACACAACCCAGTACATTAAGCACACCAGCTTTCAATCTATTGACTCCATCTATACTTCCCACTACCTCAGGAAAGCAACCAACATAATCAAAGACCCCTCCCAACAACGTTATACTCTCTTCCACCCTCTTCTGTCGGGCAGAAGATCTAAAAGTTTGAACACATGCATGAATAGATTCAAGAACAGCTTCTTCCTTGCTGTATTCACACTTTGGAATGGACTTCTCAAATGTTAATCCTGATCTCTCTCTCTCTTTCTGTACTTTCTCTGTGGCTGTAACACTATATTCTGCACTCTGTTCTGCTACACTGATGCACTTGATACGGTACGGTCTGTCTGTATAGCATGTAAAACAACACTTTTCACTGTATCTCAGTACATGTGACAACAATAAAATCAATCAACGTAAAACATTCCTAGCTAACCACAAGGCTTGGCCAGAAGTAGAATGGAAGTAAGCAATTGTGATGTGTAGCAGCAAGACTGGGTCCAGTGCAGGAAGAAAGTGAATGACCTCCTTCACCTCACAAGGGCGAGCCCGAGTGAATGTTGTGCAAACTGTAGACAAATCGAGGTGAGGCACTCCTCCCTGCTCCAATGTTTGGATGGATCAGAGCTCAGCCCTGGAACTCTACGGAAAATCAGGTCCATTTGCACAGTAAGACAGAGAAGCCATTTGTAAACTGCCAGCTTTTACAGATCAGGTTTCTGAAGGCATGGCAGACTCTTACAAATCCAGGAAATTACCATAAAGATTTTAGTGAGGTTCAAGCAAATTAGGTTTAAGGTGCTGACGAAAGAAGGTTAATTACTCCTGCTATTAGAGGATGGCTGTCACCTTGCATCCTTTCCACCATACACTTGATGATACTGCAGCTGAGAATCAGTTGGGAATCCTCCCATATGATTCCATAGGACTATCCACCATTTTTGCATGCTCCAATGATCTTCACTAAATTCCACCCATTGCTGTCCCAACACTGATATGTATCGATTGCTGAAATACAGTATCAACTGGTTATTATTTTCAATCTTTGGGCAAAGTTTATTTCATGAGCATTTTAACCATCACGTGTATGTGTTTTTTTTAATTTGAATATATTTTACTTTAGAAATAATCCTTAAACCAAACACTTTGTTCCAAACCCTTAACATGCACCAAAACAAAAGCTGGAAAAAAATCACAGATTGATATAAAGTTATCATGCACTACAAACAGACACATTAGATGGCAAAGTTTTAAGGGGATAACCACTTACTGAAGATAAGTTTTTTTTTATTTTCAGCAATGTTGTACTTTACACTTAATAATATCTTTAATAAAAACATTTGGATTTTCAACAAATAAACAGAGTCATCATTTCCCCTAAAGTTACTTCAACAGTTGGTCTTCGACAACCAACTCCCCCTGCCCACATCAGAGGCACTCTACACAGGTGATGCTGCCCAACTACCTCTGGAACCCTTCAGAAATGCATTTTTTCCAAACTCATGGTGGATACTGGATTCTTATACCTCAATTTAAGATAGCATTTTACTTCCCTCAGTGCTCAAGCTGGGAATAACCCCCTTCAATTCAACCCAACCCTCACTCTCCCAAACACAGTTCATTCTAGCATTTCCATCTTTGCTCCCTCTCAATTAATGTTAGCACTTGTCTTCTTCTTCCACCCAGAGCAGTGATATTTACAAAAATCAGGTGGCTATAAAAGCTCTCTTAGCACTACATAAAGAATAAGTAATTCTCTTTGCACCATGGCCAACATTCATTCCTAAACTAACATTATCAAAACAGATTAATGGAGTTTACTAAGTGCAAATTGGATAACACATTTGCCTACAAATCCTCAGTGGTCAATGGTTGTGTAGCATTTTGGATTATCCTCAGACAACGAAAGGTGCTCTGAATAATAAAACAATAAAGTATATGATTGCCAGAATCATTTCTCAGTCCAATGATGAGACACAGATCTAATCCCCTAAATATGAAATGTTAGCTACTGGCATGTACGTGCTCTCCCTCGGTCAACATCTCATCAATGTTGACCGTAGAATTCAACAGGCCAGTCAAAATCCAGATTGTCCCAGTTCAGTGAGATAATCCAGAACATGATATGGCCCTCACACATGCACACTCGCAGCCACTGATGTCACCTAGTCGTGACAGGACAGGTTGCTGGAAGTGTCTGTGCATGTACCAATGATGTCACCACATTTTATGTGCACTGATCATAGGACCATAACACTTTGGAGGAGAAATAGGCCATTCGGCCCACCAAGTCTGTTCTGCCATTCAATAAAGTCATGGCTCATCTGGTAATCCTCAACTCCACTTTTTGTTTCATCTTAACCCTACAAGTCCAGATTCCCATCCTGATTAAATATCATTCTATCTCAGCCTTAAACAGGCTTAATAACCCCTCCCAGCCTCAATAGCTCTCTGCAGTACAAATATCCACAGATTCACTACCCTCAAAGAGAAAAAAAAAATCCCCCACACCTTCATCTTAAATGGGCAATCCAAATGACATAATCATCAGCACACATCTCACTGACACAGGTCTGGGGAGGCAGAGACTCTAGAAGCAGAGACAAAGGATGTTGGGGTGGGGGGGTTTGAAGCAAAGCTTCCATCAGGAGCAGCAGTGGGGACAAGACTTGCACCAATGACAGGGGCTGGGCCATCAGTGGGTGCAGGGATGATTGGGTACAGACTGCACTGAACAGAGATTAACTTCAAACTAAAATAAATTTTTTTGTCATCCAGGGAACTATAGATTACATCTAGACACCTGCTACAAATCACTTGAGAATGATGTCAGCTTTTTTTCTGCTCTTTGTATCACCTACAAGTGGCACGCATAGGATACTCTGACAATTGAATTATAGTATGAACTTCCCATTATTACCTTTGATTAAAGCAAATTTCTTTCCTGAATCGCTTAAAACAACTTCCAAGGCCGAGTGCTGAAACCCACAAGGCCTTATCAAAACAATGGTGACTTGCTGTGTCGAAAATTGAAAATGTAGTTCATTTCCAAGGTACTTAATTCCAGTAATCCATAGCTCACCCATATCCTCTGGGATTATGGGATCAAAACACAGGTAGCTTTTCATTATCCTTCAAAAGAAAAAAAGAACAAAATACAGATCAGAAGAGCAATTTTCAGACACAAAGTTTGGTCTTCCTTGTGACCGTAACTGGAAGTGGCAATAACCATAGTAACTGCACTTTCCTTAGTAATCCATATTACAAAGGAATGTTGATCCAGGGAAATTTTTCAGTGTGGAAAAAGGATTCCAAGGTCCAGATATCAGCACATGTTCAAAAATGAGTAAGTTAGGACTAAGATAGACTGTCAAGTTATCTTTTTTTTACATGCAAGATAATGAAACAGTGAGTTACATGGAAAGGCACTAAAGCAGACAGTATAGTAAGATGAAATTGATTTGTCAAAATTCTCATATACATGCTAAATCCATAGTACCTCTATGTTTAGCTTTTTTATCTGAATTCTAACTCTAAATATTAGGAACGTCTTTCAGCAAAAGAGGAAAGCCTGGCCTACGCACCTGTACAACTCAGTGCCAACACCTGTTAGAACTACACCAAAAGGCAGCAATCTGACTTCTGCAAGATAAGACATATGTTGACACAGTTAACGATTACACCCCCAACTTCTCAGAAGAACCATGCTAAATGTCCAGAGTTTGCAAAAACAAAATCTTAAATGACTGGCAAATCTTGAAGAAACTTCTCAAATGGCTCAGGGAACAAAACACCACTCTTAGTGCTACAGAACCTTGTTAAGCTTTTGAACTTCTTGGAGAAAAGATTAGTCACATCCCATCATCAGAGGTCTAACACACAAAAGCTGGTTCCACAGAAAAAGGTGTTTTTTTCTCAACATCAGCATCTTGGCAAAAGGGAGCGCCAGCGCGAGGACAAAAGTAATGACTTTCTTCCAAAAAGAAATAAAAGAATGGTTAAAATTCATTCTGGAATATTTCTTTAACAAAAACAGGAATTAATGTATATATTTGAGTCACTTCTGCAAAAGTAAAGTTTTCAAAAATTGTCTGCTTTCCAAAAATGTTGTAGGATCAACAAATAGGTTGATTCATGTAGATTGGAAAGCTCTCAGATTGAATTCCTAGTCTGGGCTAAATTTTACCCTCTCACTTCAAAGGGAACAATGTAGTTAGGGCTAAGGAGAGATAGAACAGTCAAAGTTCCTGATCCTGGCATGTATCCAGAGATCCTGTTTGGAAATTCTATGTGTATGTATATACTTAGGTTGGAGACAGGATCACTTAAGCTATGTGCAGTCTTTGACTGTAGCCCAACAATATTAAATGGCTAGATTCATACATGAAGTACAATTACTTGCTGGAGATGGTAATATCCGTGGTTTGGCACCAAAGTGTTCAGAAGTGAAGGAAGGGCATTCATTGAAGAGAGAGCATGTGGAAGAAAAATATACAAATGTCTTCTCCTGCTATACATCTGTATGAAAAAAAAAATTTCCTGTCTATAATAGATGCAATTATTGTATATCCGAGTAACTCAAATAAAAATTGGCTATATTCCACTAACCTGAAGCCAGTGTAACCAAATAGCACAGTCTGCAAGAAGCCACCCATTCCTGTCAGGAAGTTCACAGCTCCTGATCCATCTGGATTTTCACTCCAAACCTGATGTAGGTGATAAGTAAGGGCAAAAATCAGTATCCAGAAACATTTCACCAAGCTCCATGCTTACCCTTTAATTCAAATTCTATATACAGCATTGATAATGACCCGGCCTAGAAAGACAAATTTTCCTTTCTCTAATCCATAAAGGAACAGTCATGGCTCAGTTGTCAGCGCTTTCACCTTTGAATCAAAACTTTTATGTTCAAACCCTAGACCAGGATGTGAGCACGAAAATGAAGTACAGAGAAAGCATGGCAAGTTGAAGGTGCTGTCTGTCAGACAAGACATGAATCTAACGCCCCATCTGCTGGCTTAGATTAACATACAAGATTTCTTGGCACTATTTTGAAGAAAGGCCGGAGAGTTATCCCCAGCGTCCTGGCCAATATTTAACTCTTGATCAACATCAAAAAAAATGGGCATGAAAATTACCAAATGAGAATCACAATAATATGTATAAATAATAATCGCATCTGTAACCCTGCTCTCCACACTACGTTGCTATCTCTGGGAGTTTGTTAAGTGCATTTTAGCTGCCGAGTTTTATATATTACAACCCTGACTACACTTCACAAAATAGCCCATCACGCAGCAGATCAAAACTTTGTAGGGAGTGCAAGCCTAGCATGGCTAAGCACTTAAGAAGAGGCTGTCATATTGAACTTTTAACTTTATTTCTTTATTTTTCTACTTTATACTAAGAAGGACTTAATGTTGAATTTTTAACTTTATTTCCCTATTTTCCTACTTTGTACTTAAGATAATCTTTGTACAAAGATTAAGACTTTTGCACTTAAGATGGCGCTGGGAATGGCAACTTTGTACACTTTCGCTGTACTCCTGCATCCCTGTACTTGAGTACACATGACAATAAAATTTAATTCTAATTCTGTATCTGTGAAGTGCTTTGAAATGTTCATTGGTCATTAAAAGTATTAAATAAATAGAAGTTATTTTAATTTACCTGAGCAGAGTAAGCAGGAGGCCTGCTACAGGTGACCTCAGTGATACAGGCGTCGGGAGGATGTGAAAGGGATTGGCTTCGGGGACACTTATGCCATATTTCAGCAAGGTGGTTCAGTAGGAATTCCTTAGAGATTTCAGGGCATGGTAACATGCAAATACACATGTTTCTACTAAATTCAAGGATGAAAATTTCAGTTCTGAATATGTATCAAAATAAAGGTGCAGAAAATCTAAATTTCCCGAGTAGAACCCCTGCCCCCCACAAAAATAAAGCTCGATATTCTTTCCTTCAGCATTTACATCCTTTCGAGTAAATTCCAAATCTACCTCTGTTCTGAACTGAGCTTGTGTGCTTTTGTTGTTAAAAAGCTTTTGTGAAGGTCTTGGTTAGCCTTTTATAGTTTTTTAGTTTGGTATGCATGCAATTGTACAAAGCCCTCAAAATGTTTCCATGGCATTACCTTGAATGGTTCCTGAATGTGACTGTAACATTTGTTGAATTGATGCTGAGCCTGAGTAATATTCTTCAGCTCCAGCCAACCGATCGCAAACATACTCTGAAAAAGAAATGTATTTTAAAAAAACATATTGACTACCTTGATTAAACAATTAGACAATGGAATAAGAAATTTTAGATACAGACTTAAACCAAAAGGAGCATGGTCAGTATAGTGGAGATTAAAGCATTACCTTGACACAGTTAGCTTGAGTAAGCACATTTATTTTACATGCACATGGGAGAAATGAGTATTCTAGACAGCCCCTGCTGGGATATCTGTTCTCATTCTCCCCGAGTTGTAAATGCTGCTATTTCTAGCTCCAGCATTGCAAGGTTCTACCAAGATTGCATCTGTCAATGTTCATTCTAACTACAGTCTTGAAAATATAGCCTTTATTGTTTACACAAGCAATCAAGCGATCGATTTTGTAGCACAAACACACAAAAAGCAATCTTTTGACCCTTATGTTCTCAATTTGTAGTGTGGCACGTCTGGCCCACTTCAGTCAGTAAGCCTTTGCTTTGCTGTGGTTTTTTTGGATAGGAAGATGCTGCTACCAATCCTCTTTCCTTTGACTCTGTTAAAGGGCCTGTTTAGTTTCACAGTGGTAGAGGCTGAACCATCACTGAATCTTAACAAGAGGCTCTGTCCTAACAAGATGTGAAGCTGTGTATACAAATACATCTTTTGGCAAGACTCGTGTTTTTGGTAGTGTCTCTTATCTCTGGCCAGAAGATCTAGGTCACCCTGCCTCAGAAGTGTCATAACAACATGTCCAAACAGGTTGATACTTTTTAAAAAAAAGTTTGTTAGACATTGTTTCAAAGACTATAAGGAGCCCTGTCGATAATAGGTTTGCTCTCCATGTGATCCCAAGATGTCTACCTTATCACCACCCAAGCTTTTATGGCATCATCCGCCTAGGTGGAGCTTAATGTAGTCCCCAGCGTTTATTCTTTCAGATCCATGACAACTTCTCAGGGCAGTATTTCAATTGTTTACTCCCTTTGTTGGATTCTAAGGTCCTAAGTCATTTCAATTTAATGTTGTCGTAATCTGATTACAAAAGCACAGATAACACAGTTTGGCAGCTCCAAGGTAGCTTAAATGTCATATTGTTGTAGAAGAATCAATAGAAATAGCTGACAATGTTTTGTAAACAAACCAGAACATTATTACATTAATACAGCAAAGTCCCACATGAAAACCTCCTCCCCATAAGCTGCCACACACTGCCATTCCAGACTCTTTTCTACTACTTTGTTCGGGGTCTAACTCTGCTCCCCTGAACAGGAGTCAAAAATTCCCCGACTGTTTTACAGGAAAATTGGACAACGAAATTTTAATCCATTTGTATATGCCTGTAATTCCAAAGTCACCATATTTTTTAGTCAAATATTTGGTAATTTTTGTATCACCAGGCACTCTTGGTACAAAATTACATCACCCTGCTTTTAACCTATTCTGTACTGACCTTGCATTGTTGAAGAGAACTTGTCATCTATATTCTGCCCACATAATCTGCATCAAAAAGCGTAGATAATTTTTGACTATTTGCACTTAGGTTTTCTATTTGTTCATTTGTGATGTTTGAATTTCATCAACCGTTACTCGATTAGAAAATGCTGGTTTTAAACCTGTTGCCTCATTGGTAGATAAATTTCAGCTCAGAAGATCAAAATTTGTTTATATCAAAAACTTGAGATCTGTAAATTAATAGAATTATGGATCTAAATCTTTTATGCATCTTCCTAAGTGCCACTGTCTACACCTAAATGGCCTGTATAAACAAAAAGCATCTAAGCAGCCACTTTATTACAAATTTAACTTAGACTCTAACTAGTCTGAGAACACTGATGGCAAGTCTAGAGAAAAATGGAAAACTATTCAATTCTCCATGACAATAGAGAAATAAATCATCCAAAAAAAATAGAGATCAGCTCTTTCACCTGACAACATACATGAAATGAAAACAGAAAATGCTGGAAATATTTAACAACTCAGGCAGTGTCATAGACAGAGAAACAGAATTAATGGCCCAGATTTATGGCATGTTGAAAAGTTCTGTTCCAGGATTAAAATGGTGGAAGTGCTCCAAAATTGCAAGTGCTGCACACACACACACATTGTTTCCAATTTAAATGGTAAGCTGTCTCCATTTAAACCCCATTTTAGTAACACTGATGCATGAAACTGGAGTGCACAGAACAGACTAGCTCAGAGTAGGTCTGTTCCCTGCCCTTCTTTTGACTATTCCGGGAAACCCCTTTTAAGTGCTGAGGTACCCCTGTAGGCAAGGTCCCAAAACATTATATGGGTGGGAATCAGATATCTTTTGGAAGGATGAAATCGGATATCCTTTGGAATTGTTAACAGTAGGGAAGATTATGCCTAAAATGTGAATATAGCCCTGGGAACTGTGAAGTTGTCAAACAAGTATAAAACTTGTCAAGATATCTCAGTAAATATCAAATGTTTTTGAAAACTATTAATAAGCAACAAATTTGTTAAGAACTGTCAAGGAGTGTCAAACCTAAGAAAACTATAATGAACTGCCAAAGTGCATCAAACCTGCCAACTGCTGTCAAGAGAATTTTTTTTTAAACACATTAGATGTTTTTCTCAATACAGTGTAATCTGCAATATGGAACTTTAAGTAATAGAACATTATTTTTCTCCTGTCTACTTGAGTACTAGTGGATACTAGGTAAATTGGTAGCGTAGGTGAAGGGCTAAAGTGTGGAACTATGGTTGACATGGGCAGATACTAAGTTGACATTGAGGGTATTAGGGGCACATGGAATATGAGGGGCCACGGAGACGGTTGCAGGGTATTAAGTCACATGTGTTGGCATGGATGGGCCATGGACAGTGTGTGGGGATGAAGGGGGGTGTGACAAGTGATGTCTGGGGGAATGTTTTATATTTAATTCTTTGATTTTAATATTTGGAAAAAGCAATGAAGCACTGCCAAACCAGCTTCGGAACTGGCAGTCTCCTCAGCTCTTTCTGGTTTGCCTGGCCCAACTTCAGATCCAGCCCGCTGTAATATGCAATATCAAGTAGATGTCAGTGTAGTGGCTGTACTAGAACAGGTTGACAATGGGTGCAGCAATTTCTGGAGCAGAAGTCTTCAGTACAATTACCAGAACGTAACCAAGGTCCAAAATCTTTCCAGTAACCAATGCTTTCAACCAGTTTCTTAGAATCATGTGGAGTGAATCAAATTGGCTGACGTCTGGCATCTGTGATGCTGAAGATCTTCTGAGGGGGCCAAGATGAACCATCCACTCAGCACTTCTGAGTGAAGGTTGCTACAAATTTTTCAGCCTTATACAGATGTGCTGGGCTTCCCATCTTTATGGATGGGGTTATCTGTGGAGCCTATCTGAATAGATAGTCAGTAAAAGTTAGAAATATTAAAACACACTAACTTCTGGCTAACTATAAAACTGAACTTCCCCCAAAACCCACGGTGGATATCCCACTGGACCTGGTTTGACCCAACCCAACTCCCTGACCACCACCTTCAACCTTCCACACTGGTCTGGAGCCAAATCAGCACCTCACTTTTTACCCCAGGCAATGACCTGGCCTCCCCCACCACCTCCACCTCGGCCCAATCCCTACCTTCCCCAACTACACACTCCCCAACCAACTAGACCGGAACCCTTCTACCAACATATGCACCCATTCTCCCACTCCAGTCATACTGGTAGCTAACGCAATTACCTCACGTCCCCATTCCTTTACCCAATTACCTGACTCAAACTCATTCACTAACACACCAAAAAGCTGTTTATATGTCTCAGAGCTGTTCAGTGTTTTAGTAAATGAATGAATTTACCAGAATATTGCAGTTATACGTGTAAAAATGGCTGTACTATTGGCTTCCCCCACCTGTCCTATACTATAAGGATACAGCTGGATAAAAGGTATACTGTGCATTTCGGACTCCTCCAAAGTTGAAGGTTGAGCCTAGAAATGTGTGGGATGGGCCAATTTGTCATCACAAACCTAGACAAGTGGCTCGCTATTCCATCATGCAAGTCATTATTAAATACAATTAATAGACACATCGCTAATCATATCCTACCAATTTCAAGTATCTGTCTTTTACGTCTGTCTCCCTTTTCTGTCTCCAGCCACTCTGCCAGTTTCCTAACGAGAACAGTAAATTGCCATAAATCCCATGAGATTCAACTTTAACCAATGTGTCTTGTAAAGGAATTTACCAAATGTGTCCTGGAAGCCCATGTTAATAACATTCATAGACATTCCCCTGTCTAATTAAAAAACAGTTTTACTGCTTTACTGTGATTAAAGCAGCAGCATTCTGTGCCTGTTGAACCATCATCTTCTACTAACCCAGGTCATGGCAGGTCCATCCTGAGCTGTCACACCTTCATACATCACCAGGTCATTCTTCCGCACCTGAGAACTCATGGGATACATGAGTGGGTAACCTAGCAGCACAACATCAGCTTGTTTCACAACCATCCCTGGAACACAGAAACATAATTTTTAAGCACATAAGAAGCTGTAACCAAACCTTCAGCAGCACATATAGTGTGAGAAATTCGAAGATAAATCATTTTTAAATTCTGACCAACTTTTTATCTTCCTTTTCTTGGATATAAACAACAGTAATGGCTTGCCCAAGTGAACATTGTTCAAATGGGCTTAACATTACAGCTTCACTCAACAATATCAATACAAATAGATATTCCAGTAGGGTTTATTGGTTTGCGATCAAGAGTGGAAATCCTAACTGATTATTTTCTTATATTTTTAAGGTGGAGATAGACAGATTTCTAATCATTAAGGGAATCAAGATTTATGAGGATAAGGCAATGAAGCGGATTTGAGGAGGATTATAGGGGGATGGGTCTCAGTGGGATGTTCTGAGGGTCGGTATGGACTTGTTGGACCAAAGGGCCTGCTTCCACACTGTAGGGATTCTATGATGATTATCATATCAGTCATAATTTCATTGAACGCTGGAGTGGACACGATGGGCCAAACAGACTACATTTCATCGTTCCTCATATGGTCTTATGAAGCACTGAAATCAACTACACTGCCTCAGAAGATAAAACAGAAAGATGTCAAGAAACTTAAGGAATACAAGAAATAGGAGTAGGGGATAGGCTATTTGGCACCTCATCCTACTCAGACACTTCAACAAGGTCACGGCTGATCGGCTTGATGACCTTAACTCCACTTTCCTGCCTTGCATAACCTTTGACTTCCTTAGGATCAAAAATCTGTCTAATTCAGTGGTGAATATATTCAAAGATACAGCCACCACTGTTTTTTGGGGTAGTGAATTCCAAGATTAACAACCCTCTGAGAAGAAATTACTCCTGATTGCCACCTTAATTATTTTTAAACTGTAGCTCCTTGTTCTAGATTTCCACAAGTGGGGAGAGATTATCTATCTTACCCTATCAATATCACAGCTTGGATGTAGGAATGATCCCAGCACCAAGGACGTAGCTTTTTTTTCCAAAAGTAGGGGAAACCTGGACAGTGGAATGTCAGAATTGCTCACCAATGTCTTCCACCTCCATACTTTCCTAAAAAGGGTCTCCCTATGGCAGTAGCTGTGTACCAGTCCATGGTGGAGAGCCAGTTGAAATATGTTAAAAGGATAATTAGCCAGTAAATTCTGTGTTTCAATGCTACTTCAAAGAAGGCATGTTAATCCTGGGCAATATGGAGAACCTAGCAACACACTGAAGTGAAGAGGGGCATTGGAGGCAGCCATCAATGCTGCAATCATGGAACCATGAAGCTAGAACGGCCAGAAATATTCACGTGGAGGAGCACCTATGTAGGATCAGGACCCACAAATGCCCCCAATACCTGGAAAGTTTTTGGAGAGGATCCTTCCCTGCCTTGGCAACTTCTTCAGCCTGGGCTGTGTCAAACCATCAGCCAAAAGAAAATGAGAAACCATAGAGGGAATTCTGATAAAACAAAATCAGGTGGCAGGAAGACAGGGGAGGGTTGTTGGAGAAGAAGAATATAGTAGGAAGTCTGAAGTAAATTCTTTCGCACCTGACTTGTATCCATCAAACTCAGGATGATACTGCTTCAAAGGGTCAAATGGCACTTTGATTTTCTCAGCTATTTTCATCCATTTTGATGGAACTGTAACTTTTAAACGTGATCCCAATTCTGTTGCAAACTGGAGGCTGGAAAAATAATTTAAATCTACTGAATTAATTGAAGATTAGTGGTAAATTTTATGTGTAATACAATGTGGCAAATGAAAGAATAGTCTATAATATCAACTACATCTTAAGTCACAGTCACGTTCCCCAAACACCGATGCGCTACAATGACTCCAGGTAAGGCTAAACCTTAAATTTTAAAATTTGAGTCTTTGTACCAAATACCTCCATGACCCTGCCCCAACCCAAAAACATCTCTGTAATTTCATCCAACCCCCAAACTCTCCATGTAATTTGCATTCCTCTGATTCTGGTCTCTTGCACATTCACCATCATAACTGCTTCACTGGTAGCCATGTCTTCAGTTGCCGAGGCCCAAGTTCTGGAAGTGTTGCTGTACAGCTCTCTGACTCTCAATGTCACGTTCCACCTTGAAGAAACTTCTTAAAACCTCCTTGATCAAGTTTTTGGTCAAATGACCTAATATAGGCTTATGTGGCTCTGTGGTATGCAACTGGTTTTTTTCATGCTCCTGTTAAATGCCTTGGGATGTTTCATTACATTAAAAGCACCATAGATAAGTTTTCTTTTATTGTACTACTCAGAAGTAAGCACTCTTTAAACCCTGCAATGAGGTTATTTCCTGCAAGGGTGGTCCAGCTATATACTTTAAACAACCTCATTAAATCAAAATAAAAAGCAGTTGTCTCCTCCTCAAATTGTACAAGAATAGGTACACTGCGAATTAAATATACATATCCATATTTTGCCATTAGTGGCATAATGCATCAATATTCTGATGTTCTTGGCCAACAAAACCTACTGCAATACGTATTTCTCACTTCAGATTTCTACTCTACTGATGTCTGAATGTAAGAATCACTGGATGGTATTCAAACATGGGAAGCCAGCTGACTTCTGCACTCTTTTACCCGAGGTGCTACAGCCAATCATTGCTGTTATGCAGGGAGCTTCCCTGAGCCAGGAATGACAAAGTAGTTAAGAGTGGCAAATGTGGTACAATGAGATTCACATAATTATGAAGGTGTAACTGATGACATGACTGACATCAGTAAGAAAGAAGACAGCAGTGTGGAATTGGTGAGGTCCAAGACATTACACATTTGATAACCTACTATGTACAGACGTAAATAAAAGTTTTACACCACATAAGGAGTTGATAAGCTTTACTTAGTGATGAGAAGCAAGCAGCACACATAAACTGTGATATACCAGACCAATGTGTCAATCTGCAAGTAGCAACTCTGGTTGAAATCTCAAGATAGAGCAATATGCATCAATGTTGGGGTAGTGTAAGGCTTGGAGGGTGATGGTGGTGGTGCTGTTCTCACATGCCTGCTGCTCTTGTTCTTCTAAGTAGTTGAGATTACAGGTTTGGAAGGTGCTTGGGTAACTTACTGCAATACCTTCTGTCACACTGCACACATTTCAGCCATAATGATAGAGGAGTGGATGTGTTTAAACTAGTGGCTAGGATGCAAGTCAAGAAGAATGCTTCATCCTGGATTGTATCAAACTTCTTGTGTGTTGTTAAAATTACATCCGTGCAGGAAGGTAGAGAATGCTCCATCACACTCATGACTTCAGACTTGTAGGTGATGGACAGGTTTTGGAAGTCAAGCAATAAACTGCTCTCTAAAGAATACAGCACTAAATGATGGTAGGAATTTGGTACCAGAGTGTTAAGAGTAGCTAGGTTTTCTCTTATTAGAAATAGCCATTGCCTAACACTTATATGGTAAAAGTGTCACTTGCTATCTATCAGCACAAGCTGTTGTCCAAGTCTTGTTGTATATTAGTGTGTACTGCTTAAGTATCTGAGGAATTGTGAATTGAACTGGAATCTCTGATATCATCAATGGACATCCCCACGTGACTTTATGATGTAGGGAAAGTCATTGATGAAGCAGCTGTTAGACCTAAGTTATGTCCCAAGGTTCTATCCTGAAGAACTCCAGCAGTGGATGTCTACATCCTGGGACACCTCTAGAAGATTGGAAATGGACAGAATAACAAATTTGCTCACCAGAGTTTCACTTCTCCTACCTAGGTTCAAATTCAATTCATACTGAAGGATTCTTTCGCTGCTAATTTAAAGGTTTAAATGGAGCAAGTTTGTGCAGTTCCAATTCAGTTGGAGATAACACAAAAATGACGTTCCTGAACCACACAAACAGCAGCTTAGATTTGGCAAATATCATATCGATGCTTTTGGAAAGTCATTTTTCTGAGTTTGGGACAGAGTGGAGAAAGCTTTGTGATGCACATAAACAAGTTATATTCATTTCAAATGTCTAAACTAAAAGTGCATCAAAAAACACACAAAGAAAATACTCCATAAGCATTTTTCAAGCAATCTTCATTTTTCTTCCTGTGTTTCACTCTGAGGCTGAGTAACAAAGCAAGTTCATCATTTATAAAACTAAAACACAATGAAAACTGGAGATATGACTAAAAACAGTAAATGCTGGAAATACTCAGCAGATCAATGTTTCATTGAAAGGCACGTACATGAAAAGATATTGAGATAACACAGTGTGGAACTGGAGGAACAGGAAAGCTGATGTTTCGGGTCGGGACCCTTCTTCAGAAAAATGAAGAATTTTTCTGAAGAAGGGTCCTGACCCGAAACGTAGGCTTTCCTTTCCTCTGATGCTGCCTGGTCTGCTGTGTTCCTCCAGCTCCACACGGTGTTATCTCAGACTCCAGCATCAGCAGTTCTAACTATCCATGAAAAGATATTTCTGTTTCTCTCTCCACAGATGCTGCCAAACCTGCTGAGTATTTCCACCTACATTTTTATTTCAGTTTATTTTTTGTCTTGTATTTTTATAATAGTTAGTGCCATAATTTTACCTCTTCTTCCTCAATACTAGTAATGGTAGAAAAATGGGAAAATGAAATTCCACCTCCCCTGTCCCATCCTCACCTGTACTTGGCCACCACAGCAGTGTAGGCAGAATTGGTAACATCAGATTGATATTCGTCAGGTGGCATTATTCCTTGAAGAAATTACATGCAGTGAAATAATCAGTGAGTAACCAACAGATGGGTTCCATCTTCACTGGATATTTTTCACACAATGTCCTTAATTTAAATCAGTTACCAATTATGCAAGAAATGAGAAATGACCACTTGGTTCTTTAAAGCTCATTCCATTCATACATTAATTTGCCCATTATAACATCTGATTTTATTTTCTGTCACATTTGTCTTTATTACCTTGCTTGATATTTTATTCCAAACAGATCTGTTTTTCAGAAAAGCAATTCTTCCTAATTGCAGCCCAATTTGGACAAGGACTCATACAGAAGGACTGAATAAATTCAGTACAATATGACAATCAATTGATAGCATTCAGAGGCCATGAAAATAGCTGCCGTTAATGAGAAAGGTCAAAAAGTTGCAGCAGGAATGTTCTTCAGAGGTTCAGAGAATTATAGAAATGTACAGCACAGAAGGAGCCCATTGTGTCATGCTAATTCTTTGAATTAAGAGTCATACTTAGTCCCACATCCCATGTATTATCCATTAAAATCTTAATAGAAAGAAAACTAAAATACTTTCTGCATTCTACCTCACATAAAGTACTTGGTTACAGATGACTAAAATGTGGAAACAGTTTTATTTCCAGTATTAAGGCACTTCATTTTATTAACACAATAGCTGTAGTTTTCCCTTTTTTACACTAACTGTGGAGTGGGTTTTTAAATGTTAACTAACTCATCACTTCCACCACTGACTGATGAAATGTCCGGGAGAGGGAGGTCTTACAATGAATCAGACATGTATGGAGGTCAAGAAGGCAGAAGTAGAAGAGTCTCAGCTTTTGCAAAAGGTATGAGGTTCTTGCGGTTTGTATAGATCAAAGTAGAGGCTGCAAAGTGGATGTGCAAACTGACCGTGGCACTGCAGCAATAGGAAGCCTTTAACTTGCAGTCGGAAGGCAAAGATCTAGTTGTGGTGTTTTACATAGATGACAATGACAATGGATAGCACGAGAAAAGAAGTACTGTTACGGGAATATTAGCTGCTAGAGGTTAAAGAGCAGATGAAATCAAACGTAAATTTCTCCGGAATATTACCCAAGTGACATGCAAATAGGTGATGTGTAAATAAAATTCAAGACAGCATGGCTCAAAGATTGGCGTGGAATAATTAGTCTTGATGCAAGGAGCACTGGCACGAGTACTAATGAAAATGGGAGCCGTACCACTGGCACAATCTTCACTGGATCCAGTGTCCTGGTAAGTCATACATCTAGGGTGACGGAGAGGGCTTTAAATTAAATAGTGAGGTGACGGATCAAACAAGGGAGAGTATAATAAATTAAAGGGAGAGGACAAGACAAGAGGGCAGGCTCACAATAAAGGCATTAATAATTCGAGCATGGCAGGAAGGGACCAAGCATATCACTTAAGAGTGCATGAGCAGATAAAGGCTTTAGATTTCAATAATAAAAAGACAGAGGGAAAGGGATCTCTATTATTTTGTGTGTGCTTTGAGTTTAAGAGAATTCACCTTTAAGGAGTCATATAGTCAGAGTTATACAGCACAGAAATAGACCCATTAGTCCAACTCGTCCACGCTGACCAGATTTCCTAAACTGATCTAGTCCCATTTTCCAGCATTTGACCCGTATTCCTCTAAACCCTTTTAAAGATTGTAATTGTACCCACTTCCACCACTTCCTCTGACAGCTCATTCCATACACACACCACCCTCTGCGTGAAAATGTTGCCCCTCAGGTCCCCTCTCATCTTAAACCTATGCCCTAATTTGGACTCCCCTACCCTAGGAAAAAAGATCTTGGCTGTTCACCCTATCCATGCCCCTGATGATTTTATAAACCTCTATAAATGACATCCCTCAGTCTCTGTAGCTCCAGAGAAAAAAGGCCCCAGCCTCTCCCTATAGCTCAAACCATCCAATCCCGGCAACAATCTTGTAAATCTTACAGCATCATTCCTATAGCAGGGAGACCACAATTTAATGCAATATTCTAGAAGTGGCCTTACCAATGTCCTGTACAGTTGCAACATGATGTCCCAACTCCTATACTCAACACACTGACCAATAAAGGCAAGTGTACCAAACACCTTCTTCACCACCCTGTCTACTTGTGACTTTCAAGGAACTATGCATCTGCACCCCTAGGTCTCTTTGTTATGCCCTCCATCCCAGTCAGCCTATTGGTCATCATATTACTTGTAGACAATCCCATTGAGGTTACAGAACAAATATACTAAAAACCTCTCGCACAATTAACAGATGAACAGCATAAGAAATATTCTCAAATGTGGAATCTATCACCGAGGAAGATCTTTCAGCATATAAACAAGCTCTGAACAAATTAGTCAATAAAAATGATGCATTTAGGAGTCTTAGCGAGACAGATCACATCCGATATTGTCTCAACTCAAAAATTTCAAATTTAGGGAATTCTTTATTCTCCAGCAAATTCTAAATGTACCTCACACCTTCAGCATCTAACTGGACCTTTGCCCTTATAATATTTTCTGAGATTGGAAAATCTGAAATAGTCACATGACCTGGCATTTTGCTTGATTTCATATCTGTTACCTTTAATGTCATAACACTCCTCCAACGTGTTCCAAGTAACTCGACTGCTCCAAAACTCAGCTATGCTGTTGACCACATACCAACCCCCATCCTTCTGGAAAAACTCCAGGTCCTAAAACCAAAAGTAAATCATGAGATTAAAACAAACATCCAAGAAATGACTGAAAATAGAAAGAGAAACTTGCAAGGACCTAAATGTTCTATCTTTAGAAAACAGACTGAGAGTTACATCCCTACTTGATTTTGTTCAAGGGAAACAGCAGAATGCTATTCTCCTTAATGTAAAGGATCGGGGTGGGGTGGGGTGGGGTGGAGGGGAGAATGCAGTGAGTAGTGAGCAGGACGTCCCAGAAAGAATAAACGTGAGATCTGGATGAAGTGGGTTTGTAAGGAAAACAGTACCTAGCTACTTCAGTTTTAGCATTTTCAAATTGCAACCATGCAAGTTTCCTGCATATTACCAACATTTACAAAAGTAAAAGCCAGTTTATGAAATAATTCATTATACGTCTCTACCGCATTATCGGAAGGATGTGGAAGCATTGGAAAGAGTGCAGAGGAGATTTACCAGGATGTTGCCTGGTATGGAGGGAAGGTCTTATGAGGAAAGGCTGAGGGACTTGAGGCTGTTTTCGTTAGAGAGGAGAAGGTTAAGAGGTGACTTAATAGAGACATACAAGATGATCAGAGGATTAGATAGGGTGGACAGTGGGAGCCTTTTTCCTCGGATGGTGGTGGCTAGCACGAGGGGACATAGCTTTAAATTGAGGGGTGATAGATATAGGACAGATGTCAGAGGTAGGTTCTTTACTCAGAGAGTAGTAAGGGCGTGGAATGCCCTGCCTGCAAAACTAGTAGACTCGCCAACTTTAAGGGCATTTAAATGGTCATTGGATAAACATATGGATGATAATGGAATAGTTTAGGTTAGATGGGCTTCAGATTGGTTTCACAGGTTGGCGCAACATCGAGGGCCGAAGGGCCTGTACTGCGCTGTAATGTTCTATGTTCTATAAGATCATTGTCTCAAAAGCCCAAATGCACTCTGTTCAGTTCTCCCATATTCACACTTAAATGTGCTCAAAATTCAATCCTTTCACTCGCCTTGAATGCTAGCATTTCCAGATTGCACACAGTAATGCTTCTAATCTCCCAATCTATAATCTTCAAATTCACCACATGCACAGAACTAAATTCCTTTCTCAAAGCGACAGATGTGCTTTCTTCTTCAACAAGCATAATGGAGCTTGAGAAGTTGAAGTCTGAGGATAGAAAACTGTCAAAGACAAAACACCAGCAAGGTTGAAACAAGAGTTATAATTAGATATCACAAAATTTGGATTTTTAAAGGGAGATAATGAGTTCCAAAGTTTTGTGACCCAAGGAAATAATGAACTAGAGGTAGTATGATCAGTCTTGACCTCAACATTAGGATATAGGGAAGAGGAAGACCGTATAAGATAGTACATTTACTGTTTATGAAGAATAAAATCGAAGTTCAGAGCAACAACTTTCCACAGTGATACAGAAAAAAAAATTCAAAAAGAAAGACTGCAATGAATAAACAGGTTTGAGCAAGAAATTACTGAAGCATCATATAACAGGTGACATTTTTCTTCTCATCTCCTGAGGTCAAAACCGGAGCAATAATAACATTAGTAACTATATAAGGAATCCTGCAGAAACAGTGCTCACCTGGGTGATGTAAAAATACTGCTGAAATGCAAATGAGATGTCACCACTGATGTGAATTTCTTTTAGTCCATAAACAACTTCGTCACAGACCTCAAATCCAGTCACAGCACTCTCCCATGGGTATTTGGCACCCTTATGAAACAAGAGATATTAAACTTCGCACACAGTGCCCATTTATGCAAGTAAAGCAGATATCAACATTACTAGCAAACTATGAAGTGCGGTGTAATTATCAGGAGCTGTAACTCCAAATATTGATAACAAAAGAAGCTATTTAGAATTAAGTACAGCATTTTGATTTCTAAAATAAGTATGATATACACCATGCACAAGTGAATGTTTAACTTCTGTCCGATAGTATGGCTCATCTGTAATAGTGTCAGCTCCTGCACATTTAATGTACACAACAGGAAGCAATTACTGCCATCTGGTACCATATATCTCAATCTTAATTTTTATAAATTAGCTAAGATGTGATCATAGCGTAGAACAAGTAGCGCTGAGAATAGTGTTGTGTTGGTGGTATAGAAGATTATTTTCTTTTATCAAACATTACAAACAAAGGAATCTCCTCAACAAATCATTTTCACAAAAGAACTTGGACCATACTGCTGTTTAATTTATTTACTTTTTTACACACTTTAAATCATTTCATTTTCGGTGCCTTCCATATTACACAACTTAGGTAATATGAAAGCCTATTCACACGTTACTGTGGTCTGCACTATCTACCATCAGGGAATATCAGCTAACATAATAAATGTCACACTGATCTAATAGACTATATTTTTTTTTACAGACAGAATGGAAGAAACTTCATTCTATTTACCCCTGCATGTATATAAAAGGCCAGAAAGTATCAGGTTCAACTATAACATTGTACCAAATCCTTTTACACCAAATGAAATAAACCACTGACGTTTACTTAGTCAAACATAACCACAGTGGTTGTCATTCACTTCTGGCTGGATAAATTTTTCTCCGAAAATATGGAAAAGTACCCTATTGTTTTGACAGTTATTTATCAGGTGAGACTTTCCTGGATTTATGGTCAGATGCCTTGTATCACTCGGGTTTAATGGACAATGGAAAATCAAGTGCAGCAAAACACGTTTGTAAAGAACTTTGTCTGACCTTCCTCTGCGAAGTTACTGGAACGTGCACACCTGGGCAAATGCCAGCTGCTCAGCTCAATGTCAGGAAAAGAACTATCATTTTACTCTCCTGAGAATAAAAGCATGGCAGGCACTCATGGAACCTTTTCAATATCAGGACCAAAATATTCAAAGAGAAGAAAAGACAAGGGGAAAAAAGCAGGTATGGGACAGTAAGCCCACAATGTGAAAAGAAACTTACTGTCCTGTTGCTACTTGCTTACCCTATATCCTTGTTGTCCCGCAATGATCTTTGCAGCAGGAAGTGTTTGAACACGATTCTTCAGGAGGATGCGTGCCAGCTCTGGATAGAATACAAGTATACTTGGAAACATCCAGGTTTCCTGAAACAAACAATGCCAAATATCTTAAAGGGATCCTGGCAGCTAATAACTAGATCGCAGAACTATTAAGTTAATTAACAGACTGGAAGTTGATGATGACATCCTGACATGGATCAGAAATTGTGATGGGCATTTTAGAATCGGCAAAAATAGCAACTGAGCTCTCTAACTGTTGTGGTTTAATGTACCATCAACATGGTATGAGACTGAGGTTTGATCTCTAGTCCATGTCCATGTTAACTGATCTCACCCCAAGTAAAAACAAGGAAGGTTGATTTTTTTCTGGATTTTTCTTTTACTTTACAGAAAGGACTTGGATAACACTGATGTCACTTCTTTCCTCCAAAACATTAACCACTGAGTGCACAGCTAATTAAGAATTGAGGTGTGGCCTTGCTAATTATATTTTTTAATATATTCGTTCATGTGTTGTGAGCATCAATGTAAGGCCAGCATTTATTGTCCATTCTCAATTTCCTTCGAGAAGGTGTCAGTGAGCAGCTAGCCTTCCTGAACTGCTGCAGGAAATCCTGTATCCACAATGTATATCCACAATGCTGTTAATAACGATATTCCAGGATTTTGACCCAGTAACTGAGTGAGGAACTGAAATACAAGTCAGATGGTTTGTGACTTGGAAAAAGTATTCCAAATGCTGGTATTCTCACATACCTGCTGCCCTTGTTCCTAAAGAAGTAGAGGATCTGGTTTTGGAAGGTACCATCAATGGAAATTTTAGTGAGCTGCTTCAATGCATCTTGTAAGTAGTACACAAACAAAAGTATCTACTGAACCAGGGGTGAAAGGAGTGAAGGTTTAAAGTGGTTGATGGAGTACTGATCAAGTGATCTACTTGGTCCTGGATGACAGCAATCATAAGTGGCGGGGAAATTCCTTCACAATCCTAATTTGTGCTTGGGGAGTCAAGAGGCAAGTTCTTACTGTGAGCTACAGAGTTTATATGGATGGTCCTGTTATTGATGGTCATGCTTTGAATGTCAAGGGGAGATGGTTAATTTCTATCTTGTTGGTGATCGTCATTGCCTAGCACTTGTTAGGTGCAACTGAATGAAAAGTGAACAATAAATATTTTTGTTAGTCATGTGATCTCAATATTTGAACACTATTATTTAATGATGCAAACTGTTTCTGACTAAAATTACATCATGTAGCGAAAGCAATGTCATATTAGTCACGCTCGTACTAGTCAGCAATTTCTACAGACATCAGTGTCACAATAAAGTTGTAATTTCAAGCAAAGTGTATTCACATAAGTTTTAAAAAAGAAAGATATGTACACTTCTGATGATTTAGACATTAAAGTCATATCATCAAAGACAGGTAGAAGTCTATTTTGCAAAATTAATGAACAGTTCAAACATATTAGTCTGTAAGCTCTTTGATGCAGAGTGCTCAGCAGAGGTCTAGACACTTGTCAAAATAAACCAAAGAACAGTGAATGCTGGAAATCAGGAACAAAAACAAAAATTATTGGGAAAACCCAGCAGTTCTGGCAGCATTGGTGGGAAGAAAGTAGAGTTAACGTTTCCAAAGAAAGGTCACTAGGCCCAAAACATTAGCTCTGCTTTCTCTCCATAGATGCTTTCCCAGTGTTTTCCCAGCAATTTCTGTTTTTGCTTGTATACACATGTAATCTAAGACCATATAGTTTCATCTTACTAAGGTTTTACGAACTACATTTTTCAAACAAAAATGGAGAAGCACACACTGGGCATAAACAACAGGCACAGGTAAAATGGACCCAAAAAAGGCCAAGTCTAAGTCATAAAGTCCCACATCTGATGTGCTTCAAGTACAGACACCATCATTTTTCACAGAGGGCCATGATTACAGCAGTCTAAACGGTGTTTTATTCAAAGAGATTCATTTTTGTTTTTGAAAGCTTTCCCCGATTTACAAGCCCTCCAGGAGCCAAACCACATTCATCACAGTCCTGTCAACAGATAAAGCCATTGCATTACATGATATGGAAACAGACCCTTTGGTCCAACTCATCTGTGTTGACCAGATATCCTAAACTGATCTAGTCTCACTCGCCAGCATTTGGTCCATAGCCCTCTAAATCCTTCCTATTCATGTACCCATCCAGATGCCTTTTAAATGTTGTACTCTAATAAAAAAAAGGAAACTGCATTTATATAATACTTTTCAAGTGTCATCACTATTATTTTAAAGGCAAATGCAGTGATCATTTGTATACAGTGAATTCCACACACAGCAGTGAGACAAAATGACTAGTTTGTCTGTTTCAGTGGTGTTATGAGATAATCATTGGCCAGGATATCAAGCTGAATTCTCCTGATATTCTTCAAATAGCACCTTGGGACCTGATACTTTTTATCTCACCGTCATTAACTCCAACAACATAGTGTTCTCTCATGTTCCCTGTCATTTGAAATAATAGACTCTTGAGATGCTATGTTACTGAGCAGAACCTTTTAAATTATAAGTAGTCACTTAAAATTGATTTTTGTTTTTTTTAAACTTGCATTCAGCCCTGAAGTTCCGGACACACTATATTCTGCAAGTATTGAGGACTACCACATGTCTTTATATCCCACCCACTAATGGGCTCCTCAGCTGAAGTGCGAAGAGTATTTAAGATCCTAAATCAATTAGGATCAGATTCCATCCAGCAAATAGAATAAGGAGAACATTTATCCATAACAGTCCCATCAAAATTCTTCAAATGTACGAAGTACAGCCATATGATTGGAGTCTCATGTCTAATAGCTCCTACCTGATCCCATAAAATGTGGCCATGGTAATCTTCTCCTTTACCCCCATTGGAGAGACCTCCAGGACTTAATCCTACATAGTGGAAGTCAGTAGATGTCAGAGGGGGAAGAGCACTGAGCAGGTAATATAGACACCCATACAGAGCCTTGTTTAACTTTCTGCAGCCTTTAGCACTGATACAGCTCTGCTTCCATACTGCAGCCCATGCTGCTGCATGCGAAGAGTACAGTTGATCTAATTGGATAAGGCTTTGTCCTTCCATAAAACACGCCTTCACTTGCTCTTCTGTGCTGGCCAGTGCAGTCAAAAATAACCAGGAGTTTCTCTGCTGCTCTGGCAACAGAGTCAGCGACTCTGGAAGTGGCACTGAGATCATGTGAACACTTTGTCTTGCAGCCCCTTTGACCTCTGGGGTAAGAGTCTGTCCATGGATGTACCTGAATTACAAAGAAAGAAAAGCTTTTCTCGGAAGAATCAAAACAAAGATTTTAACTAATCTCAGCCAATGAACATTGAGAGATACAAATCAAAGCACAGATGGAGCAAAAATTTAAATTGGTTATTTTGAAACAGTGGTTACCAATTTTGTCATGGGTATCTCTAAGACGTGAAACATTTATGTGGAGGTTACACAGAAGCAATTGTCTAAAGCTGACTTTAAGGTTGAATGCAAATATGTAAACATTTTAACATCATTTGTAATTTATTCACTTTGCATTTTATGTGTGCAGAGAAAAAAAAACACATCTAAACGCTTCCCAGTGTATTCTTGCTCTACTTGTCGTATATTTCTTAAATACTAACACATGTTTCACTTAGGAACGGGTTGGAAGATTTATTGTGGCTTGTTGGTCTCTGCACTCTTCTGTCACTACACGTCCCTCAAAGAGCTGATTGAGCTGCTGAGCGTGGGTTGTAAGACTCCACAGAGGACTTGCCCTCTTCTAGAAGGGTCACCTGGAGCAATGTACCGATGAATGTATCATCTGGTGATGGTGATGATCAGGGCTAAGGGGTTTAAAACTCAGTTTAGTATAAACAGTATGACAAGGATTCACACATTTTGGGTGGAATTTTATCAAGAAGGCAACATCAGTTTTGCAGGTGAAGAAATCCAGATAGTTACACGTCAGGATGGCCCTCTGATCCTGTATACTTCTTGGGCAGTTTCCTAGGTAGCAGGTAACAAATACAAAAACATGTTTGGCCTGTTTCATGGAGGTGAGCAGCCAATTAAGCCAAAGAAGGCCCCAGTAAGGGGCCATTCGCAGAAGCTGCCAGCATTTGCCAGCATTGGACTCACCCTCTGCTGAGTCTAGTAACGAATTGGAGACAACCTCCCAGCCACAACCCAGACAAACATCAGAGCCTTCTCTCACTGACTCAATTGATGAACTCACAAGGGTTAAAACATTACTATTGAGGGCAGAACCGTATCTGTCAATAGGTTCCACAACAGTACAATTTGTGTATTTTTATAGTCAGACCATCGGTAATAATTTGTAAGGCTATAGCTGAAAGACATTGAAAGGACATTTAATTTGGCGTCAGTGGAGCAGGGGAGCCACGCAGAAGGTTAACAAAAGTTTCAATCACCCAGCTATGAAGTGCACAAATGTTTGGCATTATACATGGCAATAAATTCTAATTCTAGTTCATTGTCAAAATATCAACTGACACTCCAAACACATCTATCCACATACAACAATCTCATCTATCATATTTGTAATATCTTATAGGCATTGCTTATGTCTATTATAATTTGTACATTTTGCACTATTCTCAGGCATTAAAGAGGTTAAAATATTAAACCTGCATATTATTATGGATGGTCAGAGAGCTGGTGGATCTATAAGGGGATCCACAATAAATAAAGTTTATGAACCATTATTTTTAGGTGAAGAATACTCAGTAGATGAACATTTGGAGGATGATAATGCTGTCTATAATACTGAGATAACCAGTTAAACAACACTGCTTCTATGGTCAACCCAGGCAGCCAACACAATGGGGCTGAATTTCCAAAGTAGATTTCTGTTCATCCCCTGTAACTTCAGCAGAAAAGCAACATAAACTTTTACAAATAGATCAAGCTACATTTATGACATTTCTCTGGGGTTTCTGCAACTATTCTAATAACCTGATGGTGGATGAATGGAAGATTCCCATCCCCAGCATACCTGAGCTGGGAGGGAGAATCAAAAATCAGCCAACATTTTCTGCCTTGGAAATTATTACTCTTACATGCTGACAATGGTGAAGACGGACTTAGAACCTTCTGTCGATCACCATTGTTGACAAGCTTGCTAATATTAGTTGCACACATGCTTGCTAATATTAGTTGCACACATGCTTGATTAAGTACCAGTGGATGGCTGAGTGCCTCAGGATAAGTTAGCATCTTCAGCAGCCAAGTTTCCAAAATTGGAAGTTAGCAATTTATATTTATTTAAATATGACAATGGAATAGTAAATATGTACAATTTCCAAAATAGGTGAGAATCTTTGGGAGCACTTACTGTTGGGGTGATCAGATTAGTGTCTATTGCTTTTTGTAATATAATTTCAGTGTTTACAAAATTTGTCCCAATCATCAAATCAACATACAAAATTGGATTTCCAGATAAAACGATACATTGGAATCATTCATTAGTTGTCTTGATGTTATGAGCAAAGTATTTCTGCATGGATGATGTTGAATAGACTAAATGGAAGCTTCACCTGAACTTAACGCTGCAAAGCCGTCCAAAGATTTTCAACTGTGTGCACATTGAGAGAAAAATATAGAAAGCAAAGTCATGCTTCAATGAGAACAAAATGTAAGGATATCAATATTATAAAATAGATGAAGCTCAAAAAGACAGGGTGGCAGTTTAAAGAGGTATTTCACCAAAGAGACAACAGCAGATTGTTAAATTAGCAATTATGGTCAAAGGAAAAAAATAAGCAACATGAGAGGGTCCAGATGAGTTAGGCAAGGGGGAAAAATGATCAGGCAAAATATTCAAGAGAGGACCACGTCAACATGCATACAGCACTGTCCTTCGAATCGAACAGCTCTTGGAGATTGATCAGTCTCTGAATGAGATACTGGAACACTGACTGTGCCATGGAACAAGATCTCAACAACTCCATTAGGAAAGGAGGAAAGAGAATAGTAGAAAGGAAATTTTATCTGAATAATACTAAATGTAAAAACTTTGTTGCCCTAAACAGCAACATTTGACATCAAGAATCAGAGATCTGATCCTTACTTTGCTCCCATGAAATCTGGTCCACTCACAAAGTCAATATTCTGGCTGTGGGGAACAAACGACGATTTTATCTGGACTGTACACTGCTCCTTGGAAATGGTTAATCGCTCCAAAGTTATGGTGAGAACCATGAGATGAATCTGAGTGCGATGGGCAAATATCTGCTGGATCATCCTGAAATTCTGTGTCTCTATAATACAGCTAAACACACCTAGGGAAAGGAAAGCAGCAATCATTATGCAACTGGTGAAGGGAATTCTAGAAACTTATGGCCTGGAAAAGGAACCACCATACGGATTATTTTAGCTTTAGGAAACATAGGCAGAGAAACCATTAACATGTATTTAAAAAAACAGCAGTTGAACAACAGCATCTCATACTTTTATTTGCCTTCTATACCAGAAAGCTAAAGGTGCCTCCAAACATAAAAACAGCAGGGCACTTTGAGGGAGGATAATAAACAGCAACAGCTCATAGTCTTTACCAGAACCGACAGCATAGGCAGAAGGTGAGACTAGGTTGTGCAATCAGCTTTTGGGAGCTAGGAAAGAACTACCAAGCAGTACCTGAAAGTTAGTAATTTCTGGATTACTCCAGGTGCCATTTGCCAGTTAATATCAAAGTAGAGGGACAGAGCAGATGGAAGTGTGGCAGGAGAGGTACTGCAGAAGCGTGGTTTTTGATTTGTGGGATATTAGACTGATCCATACAGACTAGAAGAGGTTGCAGCTGAACATAGCTGTAACCAAATTCCTTGTGGAACCATTTGTTAGTGCAATTGGAGAGGCTTTAAACTAATTTGACAGGATGATGGGAACAAGAATGCAGCATCAGGAAAGATAAACAAGGTGCACAAAGAGTTAGTGCGAAGCAGTCAGCACTGAAGTAACAAACAGGAAAATATGAAGAAGAGTCAGTGACTCGAAAAATTAACTCTGCTGGCTTCCCACAGATGCTGTTGAGTTTCGCCAGCAATTTCTGCTTCCGTGTGAGGAAAACATTTGGTGAGATCAATCTAAAAAGGTAAGGCAATAAGGTCTAAGTTAGGTTTACACTGTTCATATATGCAAATACAGAAAGTGTGATGGATAAGGTTGGTGAATTGCAGGAAATTACCAGATCGGAATATAATGTTGTGGCAATATCAGAGACTTGGCTCAAAACAGGAGAAGAATTGACACTAGACATTTCTGGACGTAAAGTGTTCAGGAAAGAAATGGGGTAATAGAAGGTTGGTGACTATAAAGATGAAGGAGAATATTACACTGCTGGTGACACAGGGCAATGTCAGGGACTGCAATTATTTGGTTGGTGTTAAGAAACAATGGAGACACAATTACACTGCTGGGTGTATTTTGTAGCCATCAAATTTGTAGGGAAATTACAGAGAGGTGCATAAACTGCACAGTGATGGTGGGGGAGGAGGGGCGGTAATAAAGAGGGAGAAGAGTTTCTGAAGTGTAATCAGAAGAATTCTTTTGATCAGACTTTTTTCTGACCCAATAAGGAAGGAGACATTATAATAAACAAAGAATTTCAGGTGCTGGAAATCTGAGAATAAAACAGACAGCAGTGGAGAAACACAGCAGGCCCGGCTGTTTCTCAGGAGAGCAAAACAGTTATGGGGGGGTGGGGGATGCTTAGAGAAAGAGACAAAAAGAGAGAGAGAGAAAGTGAGAGAGAGATTATACAGGGACAGGCAATCAAAGAGATTGCCGATGATAAACTGAGAGACAGAGATTATAGATGGGTGTGATGCTAATGAGAAGTGTAAATGTTTGAACAGGGGTTGTCTGTGCTGATGGCAGACCACACAGGACAGGACCTAGGGCGTAGGGGTAGGGAGTAAACATTGGAGAGAGTGTACCCGTTCTGAAATTGGCAAACTCAGTGTTGAGTCCTGAAGACCGTAAGGTGCCTAGGCAGAAGATGAGGTGTTGTTCCTTCAGTTTGCCTTGAGTCTCATTGGAGCCCTGCAGCAGGCCGAAGACACAAACATTGGCATGGTTGTGCCTTGGTCTACTGCAGTGCTCCAGTAGGTCAATGGGTTTTTAAAGGGAGATGATTCAGCTACAATTAAGATACATTTCCAACAGGGGAAAGATAGAACAACCAAAACCAGAACTCCATAGACTGCCAAAGAAATGGAAAACTGAATAGATTCAGAAATCCTGAGTAAAGAGTTATAAAATGTTAAGGAAAACAGTATAGATGAAGTCAATCTAACCATAATGTCATATTGCAGCTGTACAGGACATTGGTTAGGCCATCTTTAGAATACAGCATGCCATTCTGGTCTTCCTGCTTTGGGAATGATGTTGTGAAACTTGACAGGATTCAGAAAAGATTTACAAGGATGTTGCCAGGGATGGAGGTTTGAGCTATAGGGAGAGGCTGAATAGGCTGGGGCTATTTTCTCTGGAGCGTCAGAAGCTGAGGGGTGACCTTATAGACATTTATAAAACCTTGGGGGGAATAGGTAGAACAAATAGACAAGGTCTTTTCCCTGGGGTGGGAGGGTCCAAAACTGGATGGCAAAAGTTTAAGATGAGAGGGGAAAGACTTAAAAGGGACCTAAGGGGCAACTTTTTCATGCAGAGGGTGGAGCATGTATGGAATGAGCTGCTGGAGGAAGTGGTGGAGGATGGTACAATTACAACATTTAAAAGGCATTTGGATGGGGGTATGAATAGGAAGGGTTTAGAGGGATATGGACCAAATGCTGGCAAATGGGACTAGGATATCTGGTCGGCATGGACAAGTTGGACTGCAGGGTCTGTTTCTGTGCTGTACATCTCTATGACCTTACGAGTGGAACTTTGCTCTTAACTCTAGAATATGTAAATTGGCACCAAGATTTTCCACCCATTGTTTGTAAAAAAAATTAGTTATTATTCTAACTGTAAATTGGTAACCTCAAACAAAGGCCACAAAATAGCTGGCACGGAATTGAACATGTCACACTAAAGTTTGGGCTAAAACATTGTTTTATCAGCAGCCGAAACTTTATTCTGTACCTAACCACTTTGCATCTAATCTTGGAGATGTCATCGCTGGTGCATTATGAGTCAAAAAGTGAAGTATCTGTTTCTACAGAACTTACATTTCTTGATTGCTAAGAAGAAACATTCACACAAAAGCAATAATATTAGTGTCAGACATTAACTATCCGCAAAGAAAACCTGCATCAGAGAGACAATCACGGAAAAAGCATTTGTAAATTTTAAAAATGAAAAATAAATAGATTTCTTTTACCTATCCTTGTATTCAAAGTGTAGGTTTCTTTCAACGTTCTCTCATCAGGTATGCTCAGTCTGACATTAACAGGAGATGGTACATCTGCCCGACAGCTGTCACCATTTGCACCATTATATACTCCATTAATATGCATTACATTACCATACACTCTAGTGCCAAGGTATCCATTGGCAACTGTTGCCATAAAACGGAGGTCAGAAGGCAATGTATCACTGGAAAATACTGCAGGGTCATCTTCATAATCTGACATATTGCATGTGGCATCTAAATGAGGAGAAAACATTTCAGAAAATTAAATCTGATGACTTATTCCCCTTATTCCCCTACCCCCAATCTCCATGATAATGTTCTGTGTTTTACTTTCTTGCAGGCCCAGAGTGGAAGAATGGGACAGGTAGTTGACTTGAGGTGGTGTGATATACTGATGATCTGCCATTATCATGCCTTAAACTCATGCTAGTTCTCACAGCACAAGGTCAAGACATGGCTCACAAAGTACTGCAAAATGTAATAAACTCCAATTACAGTTCTGGGTATTTTCACAGGTACATTACAATCACAGGTAGATTACAATCACAGGTACTTGTATATCTGGACTGAAGCAAAACAACTTGGACATATGTAGTCCGCTTCCCGCAGCATGACATGCTGCAAGAGGCCTGAGCTCAGTAAGATGGAGATTTGAGACTATATACCATTATGCTACGATACAGCAATGAATTCATGAACACATACCTTAAAAGGTATAACACACATGTGCTGTGAGACATAACATAACAGAATTGACACTTTTTTTGAATACAAAATCATTGTGTAACATGTTTTTTCTCATGTTGCTGTTATTTCTTTTGCCTACTACCTTGATCCTGTGCCCTCTGGTTCTCAATCCTTCCAGTATTGTGAACAGTTTCTCATCTACTTGTCCAGAACCCTCAAGGTTTTGATTAATTCTCATGTAATTTCCTATTAATCCTCTCTTCGCCAAGGAGAAAAGTCCCAATTTCTCCATCCTTTTCATTTTAAGGGTTTAAAATTGATGAGAAGAAATTATATATTGTTTGTTTTTAAAGTTGATAAGGCACCAGGACCAGATAAGATGCATCCAAGGCTACTGAAGGAAGGGAGAGGAGAAATTGCAGAGACACTGAACATAATGTTCCAATCTTTCTTAGACGCAGGGGTAATGTCACTGAAATCAAGAAGTGCAAATGTTGCAATCTTATTCAAAAAAGGCTGTGAAAATAAGACCAGCAACTATAAGCCAATCAGTCTAAATTGGTGGTGGGGAAGCTTTTAAAAATGATCATTCGGGGCAAAAATAATGGTCAATAAGGCAAATGCTGGTTTATGAAGGCAAGCCAGAACAGACTTAAGGGCAAACCAAGACTAACTTGCTTAAAAGGTGCAGGGCTGGATGAACACAGCAGGCCAAGCAGTATCATAGGAGCAGAGAGGCTGACGTTTCGGGCCTAGACCCTTCATCAGAAAAGGGGGAGGGGAAGGGGGTTTTGAAATAAATAGGGAGAGAGTGGGAGGCGGATAGAAGAGGGATAGAGGAGAGGATAGGTGGAGAGGAAACAAACAGGTCGAAGAGGCGGGGATGGGGCCAGGAAAGGTGAGTGTAGGTAGGGAGTTAGGAAGGGGATAGGTCAGTCCAGGGAGGACGGACAGGTCAAGGGGGCGGGATGAGGTTGGTCGGTAGGAGATGGAGGTGCGGCTTGAGGTGGGAGGAGGGGATAGGTGGGAGGAAGAACAGGTTAGGGAGGCAGGGACGAGCTGGACTGGTTCTGGGATGCGGTAGGCGGAGGGGAGATTTTGAAACTTGTGAAATCCACATTGATACCATTGGGCTGCAGGGTTCCCAAGCGGAATATGAGTTGCTGTTCCTGCAACCTTCGGGTGGCATCGTTGTGGCACTGCAGGAGGCCCAGGATGGACATGTCGTCTGAGGAATGGGAGGGGGAGTTGAAATGGTTCGCGACTGGGAGGTGCAGTTGTTTATTGCGAACCGAGCATAGGTGTTCTGCAAAGCGGTCCCCGAGTCTCCGCTTGGTTTCCCCGATGTAGAGGAAGCTACACCGGGTACAGCGGATGCAGTATACCACATTGGCAGATGTGCAGGTGAACATCTGCTTGATGTGGAAAGTCTTCTTGGGGCCTGGGATGGGGGTGAGGGAGGAGGTATGGGGGCAGGTGTAGCACTTCCTGCGGTTGCAGGGAAAAGTGCCGGGTGTGGTGGAGTTGGAGGGGAGTGTGGAGCGGACAAGGGAGTCACGGAGAGAGTTGCCCCTCCGGAAAGCAGATAAGGGTGGGGAGGGAAAGATGTCTTTGGTGGTGGGGTCGGATTGCAGATGGCGGAAGTGTCGGAGGATGATGCGTTGGATCCGGAGGTTGGTGGGGTGGTACGTGAGGACGAGGGGGATTCTTTTTTGGTTCTTATTGCGTGGACGGGGTGTGAGGGATGAGTTGCGGGAGATGTGGGAGACACGGTTGAGGGCGTTCTCGACCACCGAGGAGGGGAAGTTACGGTCCTTGAAAAACGAGGACAACTGAGATGTACGGGAGTGGAATGCCTCATCCTGGGAGCAGATGCGGCGGAGGCGAAGGAATTGGGAATAGGGGATAGCATTTTTGCAGGAAGGTGGGTGGGAGGAGGAGTATTCTAGGTAGCTGTGGGAGTCGGTGGGCTTGAAATGAATATCGGTTTCTAGGTGGTTGCCCAATATGGAGACAGAGGGGTCCAGGAAGGGGAGAGAGGTGTTAGAGATGGTCCAGGTAAACTTAAGGTTGGGGTGGAAGGTGTTAGTGAAGTGTATGAACTGTTCGAGCTCCTCGTGGGAGCACGAGGCGGTGCCAATACAGTCATCAATGTAACGGAGGAAGAGGTGGGGTTTAGGGCCGGTGTAGGTACGGAAGAGGGATTGTTCCACGTAACCTACAAAGAGGCAGGCGTAGCTTGGGCCCATGCGGGTACCCATGGCCACCCCCTTCGTCTGTAGGAAGTGGGAGGAATTGAAAGAGAAGTTGTTGAGTGTGAGGACGAGTTGCTTAAGTTTTTTTGAGGTAAGAGAGGTTTGTTGAGGGCAGTGCTGTTGATTTGGTGCGCATGACTTCCAGAAGGCATCAGGTAAAGTGCTGCACAGCAGTTTTGTGAACAAAGTTAGAAATAAAAGGTACAATGGATATAAAGAGGCTGAATGACAGGAAAGAAAGAGTGGCGAATGGTTTTTAAGAATGGAGGACAGTTTGAAGTAGAGTTTTCCAGGTATTGGTGTTAGAATCCCAGGTCTTCTTCATTATATATTAATGTTTTAGATGTTGGTGCATAGGTCGCAATGCTAAAAATTGTGTTACGAAGTTGGTATAGTACTTGTGGGTTGGAAGGCAGGACATTAGGATTTAACGTTTGTAAAATGATAGGGGTGGGGGGATGGAGAGTGTGTAGTCCCTTTAAAAATGATGTGTTTTTTCTAGGCTTGGAGATTTTAAAAAAGTGCAGGTGCACAGAGACTCCTTTAATTGAAACATTGTATCAAAAGGCTGATGGTTAGCCAGGCAACCAGTTTGAATATCAACTAATAAATTTAAACCAGGCACTTTGAGGGTAAAGCCAATTAAATTTATATCTGATGGTTTTGACAACTTAGGACCAATCCTACTGTAAGAAATAAATAGGTCATCATCAAGGGTATAAAAGAAGAGGGTATTTGAAAATTGGTGTGAGAGCAACTGCCATCTGTTAGAGTTAACAACCAGCAGCTCTAAAAAAAATCAGTGGCTCTCACAGAATTCTCTAAGATCGCAGAAAGCCATCATCTGACTAAAGATACAGTGGCACTCTTAGCTAATATTCCTGACACAAGAATTTGACAGAGAAAGGTGTTCCGGACTTCAGATCAGTGGAAAAGCCACAGAACATTCTGGAAGACGTATCCTGGCTGTAATTTTGACAGACTAAGTTTAAAGCTTTTTATATAGTATTTGTTTATATAAGTGGGAGTTGTATTTATTGGAACAGCATGTCTGTAGAATTTTGTTCTATTCACGAATAGTTAGTAGTTAAGGGGGAATTATTTGGTTTATTAATAGTTCTGTTAATTTGTTCACTGTTAGAATTAGATAAAATTAATTGTTACTTGTTGATTATAGAGTGACTGTCAGGAGTTCATTTCATTTAACCTTGTCTTGAGAAAAGATTGTGACTGAGAGGCAGGTTATACCACTTTTCACACTTCTTTTAACAGATTGTAAGGTGAAGAAAGTTTCTCCGAGTGTTTCGGTTTTAGTTATGGGGGGGGGTTTCACCTTTGCTTTGTAACAATTGTGGAAAGCTTAAATTTTCTAAGTACTGCAACACATGAGAAAAGCACTGTCAAACTTCAAAACGGCATGAACATGTGACAGATGAAATTTTATTGCAGGGAAGTGTAATGTGATTTTTTTTGTAGGAAGAATACAGGGAGATAATAACTTTAAACAAAAGATTCAATTCTAAAGGAGGTGCAAGAAAAAGACTAGGTGTATTCTATAAATTATTGGCAGGACATGTTGACAGCACAGTTAGTAAATCATGAGGAGTCCTGGGCTTTATCAAAAGAGGCAGAGAGTACAAAAATAAGGAAGTTATGTCGAACCAGTATCAAACACTGGTGTGGCCTCAATTGAAGTATTGCATCCTGTCCTGGGTATGAGACTTTAGAAATGATGAGAAGGTATGGAAAAAATGTTCCAGAGATGAGGAACTTAAGTTAGATGCTGGGCATATGATCACAGCCTTTCTTGAACAGGGCTGTAACATGTGCAATTCTTGAGTTTGCTGGCACCACCCGGGTCTAAGAAAGATTGGAAAATTATGGTCAGTGTCTCTGCAATTTCTCCTCACTTGCGTCAGGAGCTCTGGATGCATCTCATCTGGATCTGCTGTCTTATCAATTGTAAAAACAAACAAAAAACCCACCTCCTCATTAATTTTAATGCCTTAAACTTTCTTAACTACTTCTCTCACCAGGACCTGGGCAGCCTCTTCTTCCCTGGTTAACACAGATGCAAAATATTAGTTTAGTACTTCAGCCATGCACTCTGCCTCCTTACATACAAGTCCTTCTGATCTCTAATTAGTCCCACTTGTCTTTAGAAGACTTTGGGATTCCCTTTTAGGTTAGCTGCCTGTCATTTCTCAAACTCTTTCTTTGCTTCTCTTATTGTCTTATTTTAAATCTCCTCTGAAACTTCTTTCTTCAGTCTGGTTCTCAGTTGGATTATCCACCTGATCTGTCAGAAGCACACTTTTTCTGTTTCAGACTAATCTCTAACTCTTCCGTCATCCAGGGAGCTCTGAATTTGTTTGCCTTCTCTTTCCCATCAGCTTTCCCATCGAGTACAATCAAAGTATGTCTTGTCTGACAACAGTCCATTGTTCAGTTGCAGTTTTACCGTCAATCTTTGATCCCTATTTATTTGAGTTAGATCTATTCTTACTTAGTTGAAATTGGCTTCCTCCCAGTGAGTTATTCTTGTTCTGGTTTGCATCTCTTCCATGGAAGGCCCTAAACTTTGATACAATGATCATTAATTGCTGCTCCACTTCATCGTCCTTGAACCACTTCCGTCCCATGAACCAGACTTAAGCCTCCTTTCGCTGGACTGAAACATACCGACTTTTGTCTAGTCTTGAACTGTCTGCGTGGGGGCGCGAAGTGGTAAAGAAAATTCAGTTCTCGACAGGTATTCCCTTCCTTCTCTGGAACTGCTACAGGACCGAAGTTATTGTTTTGCAAAAACTTATCCTCACTTGACATTTAGCACTTTAAACCGTCCAAGTTAATGGGTAAACTAGAAGTTCAGTCTCTGCATGACTATAACCAAGATTGATCAGATTTTCCTTGCAGACGCCCCAACTCCTTTTCTTGTTACAACTTGTTTATTTTGCAGACCTGGCTTTCAATCTATCAATGTATCCGTGAAATTCAAATCCAACAAAAGTTCAAACCTTACAGCTTCAGCAACCTCTCCTAACCCGCCCTTCATTGTCCGAAACAAAAAATTACACTTACTCCAACCAGGAAATAAAAGTTCGCAGGTTCAAAACTCTCTCGGACAACGAGAGCTTCTAAAACTTAAAACGCTTACAGGAATGGAAGAAACTACCCGCGCTAAGCGCCCCGTCCCATTTTAACGGGCCAAAACTACCAGTTTGTTACGTAGGGTTAATCAAACGGTTACTTGCAGTTCCCAGCTCTTTCCTGTAATCAGGTTTGATTTAAACCACCCCTGCATTCTTAAATAAACCCGCAAGTGCAAACTCTGGCCACTCACCGAGAGTCCCAGGGCAGGCGCCTAACTTTCTGCGGGCCTTCGACTGGACACCACCGTCCCTGGCCTTACAATCGGTTCCTCAGGGGAAAGGGGGAAAATCAACAGTCAGCACAAACCCTCCCTTTTCTACACGTAACTCGCCTCAGAACTAGAACAGCATGGGGGCGGGTCCAAAACTCTTCACAGTCTTCCAGCTGTGGTCTGACTAGTTTTAGCAAAACCCCTTTTTTTTACTCCATTCCCTTCGAACTACCTGTAAAGGCCAACATTCCATTTTCCTTCCCCATTACCCACTGAACTTGAATGCTAGCTTTCTGTCATTCATGGATGAGGAGTCCCAAATCCTTTTGTTTTAAGCTTGCTGTAGTTTTTTTCTATTTAAATAATATTCAGGTATTATTCTTCCCAAAGTGCGTAACCTCACGTTTCCCCACATCTTCCATCTATCAAGTTTTTGCCCAGTCAGGTAACCTGTCTATATCCCTCTGCAGACTCTTTTGTGTCATCTCTCCCACTTGCCATTGCACCTATTTTTGTGCAGAACCTAGTGAAAGTAAATGAAAGGCTAAAATATCGGCATAATGTACAATGGGATCCTCAGATCTGTCTGTCTCTGACTTTACCCACTAAGTCATTGGGGAATTTAACTGACATGGAGTGTATTACCCTCCACTCTTTCCCTAGTTTACTTCAATAATACTTGTGTGGAGGTCTTTGTGGCTCAGTGGGTAGTCCCCCTTGACCCTGAGCCAGAAGGTCTGTGTTCAATTCCAAGAACATTCAAGAGTAGACCAAACAAGTTGACCAAACAACAGTCACTAAAATAAAAGCAAAATATTGAAGATGTTGAAAACCTCACCAAAAAACAGAAGTGTTAGACAAACCCAACAGGTCTTGCATCACCTATAGAGAGAGAAACACAGGTAATGATTTACGTCAAAAATGACTCATTGTGCATTGAGTATCGGAGTTATGGCTGTACAGGACATTGGTTAGGCCATTTTTGGAATACTGCATGCAATTCCGGTCTCTCTCCTATAGCACGAATGTTGTGAAAGGGGTTCAGAAAAGATTTACAAGGACGTTGCCAGGGTTGGAGGTTTGAGCTAGAGGGAGAAGCTGGATAGACTGGGGCTATTTTCCTTGGAGTGTCAGAGGCTGAGTGGGGACTGCAGAAGTTTATAAAATCATGAGGGCCTGGATAGGGTGAATAGTCAAGGTCTATTCCCCAGGACAGGGAAGTCCAAAACTAGAGGGCATGGGTTTAAGGTGAGAGGGGAAAGATTTAAAAGGGACCTAAGGGGCAACTTTTTCACACAGAGGGTGGTGTGTGTATGGAATGAGCTGCCAGAGAAAGTGGTGGAGGCTGCTACAATTACAACATTTAAAAGGCATTTGGATGGGTATATGAATAAGAAAGGTTTAGAGGAAAATGGGCCAAATGCTGGCAAATGGGACTAGATTTATTTAGGATATCTGGTCGGCATGGACAAGTTGGACTGCAGGGTCTGTTTCCGGGCTGTACATCTCTATGACTCTTCAGAATGAGGGTGCAATTAGTTCAGAGGGAAACAGGTTAGAGTGAGTGAGGGGAGTAGAGAAATTAAGATGACCAATGCTATTCCAACAGTTTACAATTGAAAGATCTAGAGCAGGTAAGAGTTCAAAAGGGGTCCAAGTGAAATGAGAATATTGGAGGTAGGTGAAATGGACCTCAAGTCTAGATGAACACAAATGCGAGAAAGAAGTGTTTAACACATGCTGAACTCAAAACTGAGAGGGGAGGGCATAAATTCTTTGCTAAATGCAATTTATTCAGTATGATGGAAAGCAAGATCAGAGAGTACAGATGTCAGTTTTTTCAAACTATTTTTATTTCAGTTGCTATTTACCCTGCTAAACCTTCCATCATGACTGGGTTTAGGAATGAAAGAAATTCTTGGACACGCCAGTCTTAATGAGGATGGTGCTTCTCAATTTTTCTCCACTTATTTCCCTCTAATAAAGACCATGCCTACAGCCCCTTTCTGTAGCTTAGATGTTGTGACAGGATGTTAATAAAGGTTTATTATAATAGAAAGGCCTTTTTTAATTGTCATATAAGGGTATCGCCAAAAGAAACAAATTTACAAATAGTTCTATAAGTAAATAAACTAATATAATGATTGAAACAAAATCTAATTTGAAAATAAATAAACTTACTTTCTAAATCAGTGTTTTTATTTATGTCTACCAGGAATCCTGTTCTTTGCAGTGCCCAAGGGACATGGAAGGCTCCAAAATGCTCTCAATAACATGCTTCTTTTCCAGGTCATCCACATAAATATTATTCAGCAATATTTGAGAGTCAGTTTTTGGTGAAGATTGTCCTATTATGGCTAAGAATAGTCATTTTCTGTTTTGAAAAACACCAGAGATGCCACATTTCCTGACTGATAGACAATGCGACCAAAATCAATGTGTTAGTAGTCACTAAGTTTGCGTTAAATATCACTTTGAATCTCTAATTATGACTATCCTAGCTAGATTTAAATAAATCTGACAGCCAAGAATAGTTGAAGATTAAGTAACCATGTATTAATCTCAATTTCTTTTAAACAATTTGCTCAAAGTCCATTCTCCCAACCAACTAACCATAAGGAAATGTCATGTTTTCATTTTCCTCTACTAAAACATTTGCTGTGACTGAATTGCTGCTCAAACAACTTTCCAGAGCTGTGAATTGTAAAACAGAGCCAGGACCTGCAATTTTACTAAGGACCCAATGGATCAATTGCTTGTGTATAGGTTTATTAAGGAAGCTTAACAAAGATTCTGGCACTTTATGAATTCAACTCCACTACATCTAGTGTGCATAATCTGTGCAACACTCTAGTGTTGCATTATTAGAGGTGCTGTCTGAGATGTAAGTACAAGGACCTGCCAGTCTGTTCAGACAGGCAAGAAAATTGGAGTTCTGGTCAACATTCCTCCCCCATCTGATACTTGCAAAAATTGAATAAGCCCTTTTTTTAAAAAACTGTTTTTTTCAATCATTCTCCTTTCATTGACAATTGTTAAATAGGACAATGTAATAAATGCAAAGAGTAATATTATAATGTAAATATATTTAAACAAATCAGTGCTGAGTAAACAAGGAGAGTGGCTATGAACAAATCTATCAACAATCATGTGCATGAGCTCGCATGGAACAAACATTTGATTCATGTTTTAATAAAACATACGACTGTTGGTTTTGCTGTTTTCGTTACTTGATTGACAGAAAAAAGAGTGATAAAAGCATTCTGATGAAAGAACTCACAGATACAGCATCAAATGATATACGCAATATTACAAGATTAGATCTTGTAATGCATTATTAGGTCAGTTACTACTTCATAATGCTTTCAGTGCATTGTTCTTTACTTTCGTGTTTTTTTTAAAAGACTCCAGAAATTGTTTGCTCAAAACATAATGGTCTTCCTAACACATTGGGAATGTCTCTATGTAAAACTAACTGCTTAATCCCAAAATAAGAAACAAGAGAGGTTCACCTAGCATAACTGCCCATGATGCTTTTTATCCATCATCAGTACTTGCAGACGAGTTTTAAATTTTGCTATTATTATACAGTGAACTATTTAATTTGGTCACTATTAAAGAAAATAATATTCTTGAAAACAATTCTCTTGTTTTAGTTTTCCTCCATTGTCTGATTCTTGCTGGAGAATGGTTATATGGTGCCAGTATTGTTCTTCACCCAAATCACTGGACTAATTTGTATGGGCCAAGGATTCAACTATGGTTCTACCAAAGTTAAGCCTGATCCTCTTCTCACCCAATACATATTTTCCAGTAGAGGTCACTCGATAGCAATAAGCTTATTATTGGAATGACCTTTTCACCCCAACACTGAGGCAAATTGACCCCCAATGACCACAGATGAATCAAGTGTATTCAGTATTGACCAGGAAGTGAAAACTGGAATATCACCAATTCCCAGCTTTTCTGAATGGCTCAGTTACACACCACAAGGTATAAGTACTCGCTGAGATGTTGAGTTGTTTCTATTTGAAGAACATCATGTCCCAGTAAGAAAGTATCTTCATTAAGCAAAAAAAAAAGTTGGGTAGTTTGCACAGTACATCAATTAATCCTGTAACATGTGCCCCTCATCATCCTTTGCAGTTCTAGAAACTGTCCCGATTCTCCAATGTATTTTAAAACCACAGTGTCACTGACTAAAGCAGCAGCTAAACTTGAACTTTTAAAAATTAAATGGTGAAAGTGTGTAGAAAGTGAATTTGCATCCGAGAACTCAGGTCTACATTTTAAAGTGAGGCTTTTCATCAAAGGAGCAGATTCTGAGGAAAAGTCCCATCCCAAAATGTATCCCAAACCTTCCTTTTTCAGATGCTATTAACCTACTTTTCCATTGTTTGTTATTTTTACAATCAATATTTTTTCCTCTCTTGATTTGCTGGGATGCAATTCCACAGGTGCAAACAGCTTCCAGTCCCATTGAGCTGAGACAATAAGTGACAACAACCAACCTTTTGACTATGGGAAGGGGACTTCACTGCTAAATCCAGATTTGTCTTTACCAAATATGCACTCACCTACACACATACATACATGCTTGCACAAAGTTTGGAAAGGTCAATTCTAACATCACTAATATTGAGTTCAGTTAACACAGTATCAGCTGTCAATAGAATCTGGAGCCTATTAGTTTGTTTTGGTTGGTGCATAGTGCAATGACTGGGGAGATTTTCTTTCATATAACACTTTCACCATCACTCCACTTTATCTTCCTGTTTAGACTTGGATGAATAAGAGCTGGCAAAATGGAAGCAAATCTAGGAAATGACAATTTAATTGCTCCTGACTAACATAGGCTGTTACAACAGTGCACCATCAATAGCAAATAATTTAAATATTTTTTTAAAAATCCTACATGTTAATTGTTTGAGGGAGGAGGTGTGAACACATGGGTGTTCTGGCTGTGCAGCGATCTTATGTAATCTGGTGTCTGAGGTGTCTGAATCATTGAGGATCTGGAATGATCAAGCAATAGTTGGATAATCCGCAGCTCATGCTCACGCTCTTCCCTTCGCCTCTCTTCCTCCCATTTGTAAAACCTCTCTTCTGCTTTCCTCTGATAGTCCATGAAGGTGTTGATAATGGTGCCAATGTGTCTTTGAAACATGGTTCCTTTCTTCAGCTTCATCCTCTTGTTTGGCACTGTGCATCCTAGAGGTTTTCAAAAGGACAGTTAAGTGAGATATAATTAAAATATTTGAGATAAGGAAAAGCACGGATTTGCATTTTAAACTTTCACAATTAAATACATTTCAAAGTGCTTTACAACCAATCAAATACCTTTGAAGAGTTGTCATTCTAATAATACAGCAATCAATTCGTACACAGCAAGCTCCCAAAAATACTATAATCATTACCAATAATCTGTTTTTGTAACATTATTATGGACTAAATATTGCCAGGACATCAAAGAGTGCTCCCTTGCTTTTCTTCAAGAATATCATGGGGCTTTTCATACCAATCTGTCAGAGAAAATGGGACCGCTGTTAAGCATCTTCGTATAGTCCAGCAGAGATCAGCCAAGGTGGAGCTTTGGACTCTTCTGATCTTTATTGCTTTTGTGATGGTTATATTGTCACAATGTATTTTTGTTTAGGTTTGCCTTGGTGATTGTATCCTTTAGGTCTGTTAACAATACAAAGTAGCTTGACGTCCATGTGCCCATCTCATTGTGCTGTCATAATTGAAGCCTATGGGTAAAGTTCAAGGAGAAGGCCAAACCTGGAATGTCTAAGGAAAGGCAAAGACAGAAGCAGGCAGGATGGATCTGACAAATAGCAAATCCCAAATTACAGAATGTCAATGAGTGCAATGAATGCATAAATAATATCTGAAAGAAGCATATAGCATTGTTAGGTCACAATTTAGTATGTGTATTGACTGTGCTAATTATTCCTGACAGTTTTTCCAATTTGTAAGCAATTATTTAACTATCCAGCTCATACTGAACATGATTAGTGTATCATCATTCAGATACACACCGTGTTCTGATTCAGTCCTTTTTCTGCTGGTTGCAGCAGGGGCCTCCGAGGCTGTGCTAACCACCTCTTCTTCCACAGGGCCTTCTGTTTCTGCTACATCAGAAATCAAGAGAAATAAAAGACAACCGTAAGCTTTAGCAATCTCATTTAAACACAACAGCACTCCATCAAACATTTCCCTTCAGACCTCAAAGACAATCTAATGACCCACTATCACTGGAATCCACACTATTGTGATTTCCAACAAATTCAACAAAACCTCATACATCCTTAAGTTGTTTCATGGGACTTGTAGAAGGACCTTAACCATTAATTACCCAGAGTTACAATATATCTTAGGCTTTAGATCCAAATGCAAATTCCAACCTGCTCCTGATACACAAAACAATCCTCAATGTGAACTTCAGGCAGGAAATAAGATCAAAAAAAACAGAAGAGGGAGAAAACCACTCAGTTCTTTGAGTCTGCTCCACCATTCAATAATAGCACAGTTGATGTGACTGTGGCCTTAACTCCATTTTCCTCCCATCCTCTCATAACCCTTGACCCTTTTCAGATCGAAAATCTGTCTAACTCAGCCTTGAATATATTCAGTGATCCAGCCTCCACTGTCTCTGCTGAGAGACAAAATTCTGCTGATCTGTCATGTTTGGGGGGCATCTTATTTTTAAACTGTCCCCTAATTCTAGGATTCTCCATGAGAAGAAACATCAGTACTGCAACTATTCCATAGAATCCCCTCAGAATTCTATATGTTTTACTAACATCACCTCTCTTTCTTTTTAATCTCCAATGTGTATCAGCCCAACATATTTTAAAGACAACTCCTTCATTCCAAGAGTCAATCTAGTGAACCTTCACTGAACTATCTTCAATGCAAGATTTCTCTTCTTAAGAAAGGAGATCAAAACTGCACACAGTGCTCCAAGAGCGGTCTCACCAATGCCCTGTATATTTGTAAGAAGATTCTATACCTGAAGTCCTAGCATTGATCCCTGTGACAGTCCACTTGTTATAATTTGTCAACCTGAAAATTATCCATTTATCCCGACCTTATTTCCAATTACCAATCCTCTATCCAAGCTCTAATAACACCTCCAACACTTACCTTGTGTGGTAACTTTATGTGGCACCTTTTCAAATGCATTTTAGAAGTTAAAATACATTATATGTACTGGTTCTCCTGTATTCACCCTGCTTGTTATTTTGTCAATGAAATCTAATAAATTTGTCAGACAGTGTTTTTCTTTCACATGTTTACTGCCTGATTGTATTATAATTTTCTAAATCTCCTGCTACTACCTCCTTTTGATCAAATGGGCAAATGGGCCGAGGAGTGGCAAATGGAGTTTAATTTAGATAAATATGAGGTGCTGCATTTTGGTAGGGCAGGACTTATACACTTAACGGTAAGGCCTTCGGGAGTGTTGCGAAAAAAAAGAGACCTTGGGGTGCAGGTTCATAGTTCCTTGAAAGTGGAGTCCCAGGTGGACAAGGTGGTAAAAAAGGTGGTTGGTACACTTGCCTTTATTGGTCAGTGCATTGAGTATAGGAGTTAGGAGGTGATGTTGCAGCTGTACAGGACATTGGTTAGGCAACTTTTGTAATACTGTGTTCAATTCTGGTCTCCCTGCTATAGAAAAGATGTTGTGAAACTTGAAAGGGTTCACCAGGGTTGGAGGGTTTGAATGATAGCGGGAGGCTGAATAGATTGAAGCGATTTTCCTTGGAGTGTCAGAAGTTGAGGGATGACCTTATAGAAGTTTGTAAAATCATGAGGGACATGGATAAGGTGAATAGTCAAGGTCTTTTCCCCAGGGGAAGGGAGTCCAAAACTATAAGACATAGGTTTAATGTAAGAGGGGAAAGATTTAAAAGGGACCTGAGGGGCAACTTTTTCATGCAGAGGGTGGTGCATGTATGGAATGAGATTCCAGAGGAAGTAGTGGAGGCTGGTACAATGACAACATTTCAAAGGCATCTGATGGGTATATGAATAGGAAGGATTTAAGAGGGATATGGGCCAAATGCTGGCAAATGGGAAGAGATTGATTTAGATTATTTGATTGGCATGGATGAGTTGGCCGAAAGGATCTGCTTCCATGCTGTACATCTGTATGACTCTATGAATACATATCCACCCCTTTTAGGGACAATCCCCATTTACCCAAGTCCAGACAACCTACCTCACCTCAGCCACACACAACCCCACACACCCACAAAACAGGATGCCATGCTCTCTCCACAATATTATTAGTTGCATCAATGAGTAGTTTAGGTAAATGTTAGCATTTAATCCTTGCCTTCCCATCATCAACTGTATATATACATACCTGTAACACTGTCTGCTTCAGACCGTGGTTCAGGCAGAACTTTATCTTCTTCCCCATCTCTGCTGAGGGCAACAGCTGGTTGAACATAGTGTGCTGTAGGAGTTTAAAATTTACAGTGTGTCAGTGCTCAGCTAATTTTAAATGCAAGATGTGCCTTCCTCCTCATTCGAAATCTAGGGCGATTAGTAGTAAAGCAGAGGGTTTACACTGTTCTGATGAAGATTCATATGAGCAAACCAGTTTTTCTTTAAACAGTTTTCTCCCACATCTCACTCCAAGGTGTTTAATTTATTTGGGGTATAGTTGCACGACTATTTATTTAAGACAGTGCGTATTGGTAGGCCATTTAACCTAAATAAGTATTCAAATCCAAACCTGTCCTTAACCCACATCCGCCTATGCACACTGTCACTAAGCTCACTGGATACTAATCTGGAATAGAACATCTCATTAACTTTCACTTCCTGAAATCAGGCATAGTGAGGGCTTTGAGGTATCATTCTCACTATCCTGAACGAGATCAGTAGTTTGGCACACAGGCCGAGAATATAGTCCCAGTTCTTTTTGGCCCTGTACTCAGCTGCTTATTCCTGTAATTTATAAAGTTAACAAGAAAGCAATAAATATCCCACTGTAACATGTGACAGGGCAATAGCCCAGTCATGTGGCTGGATTTTGTCAAGTCCTGATACTGGGGTCAACTGTAGATGTGTGTCCACATAGACAGGTGAAGGGAGATCCTTGGCTGTTTTCCCATCTACAACTAACTAATATCCAGGAGGCTGGGAGCTAGCTGAAGGCAAGCATCAGGCAGATGTCCTGGCAAGTCAAAGGCAGGCTGGCACCATAACTAACAACCAATCTACAAACTTCATATGGGCAGAAAACAGAGAAGATTGGAAGAGGTACAAATAAAGTGTGGCAGCAGAAGTGCTGAAGTCAGATTATGGGTGGATCCAAAGTTTAGTATCTCTTGGTGGTTCTCCTGCAAGAGGAAACAAAGGTTGAAATGAGTAAGCTTCACCAGGAAAGCATGGGTGGAGGAGGTCAGAAGCCACGGTGTTAACATGAACATATAATGCTGAAAGTGAATCAATAACCCGTGCAGTTTGGCAAGGTAACTGCAGCCCTGCAAGATCCAAAATACAATTATGTGATATGAAATGATGTGGCCAACCCACAAAATGGGCATGACCAAGGTTTAGTGTCCACAGTGAGACATAGATTCACCTCACACAAGAAGCCCATGGTCAGATGTGATCACTGCATTGACAAGACTGAATGGTTATTTGCTGCATGCCTCTCAGTGTTTCAATGTGGGACATGTAAAGAGGCCAGCTGGATTACGAGACATGATCAGAATTGCGCATGTATTAGTTTCAGCAAGTGCATGCTCCCAAGTTTTAAATTTTTTTTTAATGGGATATGAAAATTGTTGGTAAGGCCATCATTTGTAGCCCATCCCTAATCATCTGCTTGTATTTCTGCATTCCATCATGGTGCAGGGTACACACAAAGTGCTCTTACAAAGGGAGTGCAGGTTTTTGATCAAATGACAATGAAGGAATAGCAACGTAATTCGAAGTCAGGATGGGGTGGGGCTTAAACAGAGGAGATTGAGAGGAGACCTAATTGAAGTGTAAACAATTATGAAGGGCCTGGATAAAGTAGAAATGAAGGCTTTGGTTTCCTTACTTGAGAGATCCACAATCAGGAAGCATGGACTTACTGTACAAGGTAGAAGATTCATTCGGGGTTCTAAGGAAAATTGTTAACACCCAAGGGTGCCGGGGATTCAGAATTCATTGTCTGAAAGGTTGATAGATGTAGAAATGCTACTGGATATGCATTTGAAGTACTGTAACTTATAAGGTTACAAACCAAAAGCTGGAAACTGGAATTGGGCTGGATGATTATATTGGAATAGCCTTCTTCAGTGTTGTAAATTTCTGTATTCATATATAGAAATATATGCAATAGATGAATATAGATTCTATATTCATCTAAAACTATGCAGCCATACATTGAGTGACATATGTCTGAATAGGTCATCAGCAACAGTCACTGGATGTCAAAATAATTGTATGTTAAGTGCTTTGTAATATCACTGTGATATAATTAGAGACTGTTTAAAGGCAGTTCTTTCTTTCAAGTTAATTGATCATCATTCCAAATGAGTGACAAGAGCCACATTTGTAACTGGGGTAATAGGAGGCAGGCATTTCTTTGGCTGGAAGGAGATCAAGATGATTATTTTCTACCCAAGACTTCTGAAACCTGTCATGAATGTTAAAGACTATGATGACTGTTGAAGTCGGTGCTTTGAATATTAAGGGAAACTTTCAGAATGATTCTGCCATCAGGTGTCCACAACATCAAGCTGCATCCATCAGGAGCACTGATGCCAGAAATTCAACAGTTCTCAATTTTCCATCCATTTAAAACAGAAAAACACCAAAATTCATTAATGGAAAACCAAGCAACTTCCTAACAGTGCCATTCTTCAACTGGAACACAGGAATTAAAATCAGCTCTTTTGACTCCAGAAGCTGTGCTTTGAATGTTAAAAGAGGCAGTGACTTTAGGGATAAGCACAATGAATGCTAAAGGACAATTATATCTCCAAGTGACTGTATCTGAGATATTAAATATAAGAACTATAATAGTTATCAAAAATTGTGAACATTTATGATAATCTTTCCTATCATAACAAAAAAATCAAAGTTCCAGCGTATTGTTGATAGGCCTTCTTGCTATCTTGCATTCAAGCTGTACTGTACTAATGAGACTTATGGCTCTACAGAGTACTGTAAAAATTAGTCAAAAGCTTTGACAGAAGACAGCCCTCAGAAAACCTTATAAATTAAAGTATTCTGACATTCTTTATGTAACTAATATAAGTAATTGACATTAATTTCGTTGACGTAAAGAAAATTTAGGAATTGTGATTTTCTTCCTTTATAAATTAACTCGTTTCTCTTTAATTCTCCTGTTGTAGAAAGAATTAAGAGGTTACCTGTGGCATTTTCGGAGGATGCAGAGGCCTGTGCTGGGCCATTTTCCAATTTCTCCTCCCTCTCCTCTTGTTTGATGACCACACTGAGGACTGGTCTATCCTGTGGTCCTTTAGCCTGGAGGGATCGGCACCCCAGCACCGCGTCAATTTCATTGTAGAAGCGCATGGATTTACACCTCCTGCCGGATTTCCTCTGGTTCACCATGGTCCTGTATTCGTATTTCAGGTTCTTCACTTTAGCCCGGCATTGCTTCCAGTCCCGATTGACCCCCAAGGCGTTAAGGTTGTTGGAGATCCTCACGAACACATCTTTATTTCTCACTGCTCCAGCCAGCTGATCCTGAATGGATTTATCTTTCCAAATGGACAACAAGCCTTTGATCTCCTCGTCTGCCCAGTTCTTACTTGCTCTCCTGGCCATTGTTGAGATTGCTGGTGATCATCTAGTTTATTCACGATTTTCAGGGATATGTGGGGTTTGGGGATGATGATGACGGAGGAGGAAGAATGGTGATTGGTGTTGGTTGAGGTTCGTCTCCGCCCACAAAAGGCAGCACGGTGTTGGATAATGCGTCATTGCGTATATCGGCAATACAGCGTAAAGGCGATTAATGCGTATATTGGCGTGAGGGCTCAGTATAAAAACCAAACTTAGACCGGCAAGTGCCGTCTAATGTACAAGAATACATTATCAATCTCTGCAGAGAATTGAGGATTCCAAAAAAGCTAGTCCAATTGCGTTTATGAGGCACAGGAGAAATGGAAGTTCCTGTCAGAAGTCGTTGATGCTTTTTACCAAAAAATCTCTTTGGTTTGTTATAAAAGCGGCGGATAACGACAAGGAAACATATCCAGTTTTTAAATCACTCATTTCAAATGAAACGAGTTTAGACAAAACGTAACCATCTGTAGTAGATACATGAGTCAGGGTCTGCCTTTCTTCTGACTATATAAGAATTTGCAAACCCAATTGAGTATGTGGCGTGCTTTTTTATGTCACCCTTCGAATAGTTTTCCTCCTTTCCCTCTTCCTAAAGACATTGGGCTTTTTTTTTGTACTGGTCCAAATGAAATCGCGTGCTGTGCCGTTTGTATATAGAAAGCTTTTGAACGCAACTGCACCTTCGAGAGATAGCAAGAACTGCAGATGCTGGAGTTAGAGAAAACAAAGTGTGGAGCTGTGTCCCGACGCGAAACGTCAACTTTCCTGTTCCTCTGATGCTGCCTGGCTTGCTGTGTTCCTCCAGCTCCACACTTTGTTATCTCTGCATCTCCTGGATCTATTTGAGAGATGGAGGCAAGGGTCTAGTCTCATTTAATATTTATTGTTGAGTGCCTGGGACCAAGGAATTCCTGCACCGGCCTCAAGGGTTGCAGCCACTGAAATAAGATTGTTTGGTACTTAGTTCTACAAGTAAGACCATAAGATAAAGTAGCAGAATTAGGTCATTTGGCCCATTCGAAACTTTTCCACCATTCGATCATGGCTGGTATGTTTCTCAAAACCATTCTGCTGCTTTCTCCACATCATCCTTAATCGTTTTAATAATCTAGAACAAATGCAAGATAATGTGAGTGAGCATCCAAAGCAGTGATAGACACCCCACATTTCAGAGACAGCGACTAGGCAAGTCTTACTATTGCAGAGTTGAGTAATCTTTCTCTTCTTTACAATAACTTGGAGCAAGTCATGCAGCTTGGGGGAAGAGGATACTAATTCTCAAGACCAGCAACACCACTGATGTTCTAGACTCAGCATCTGAAAGGTTTGAAACAGTCAGGAACTACATTCGCATTCATGTTAATGTCATGCAGCAACTATTGCTGGTACAAAGTTGCCATCTGCCCACACATTCTTACAGTTTTTGACTAACTTCTTGAGATTACCTGTTCTGCTTTCCTGCCCCACCTTCCCAAGTAACTTGAGGCACTGTACAACTTGCCAATTACTCATATTAAATCCACCTGCAGAATGCATGTTTTGCTTTCCAACACTAGCACCATTGCAAACCGAAGAATGATAATCTTCATATTGTGAATGTTACAATACATTGTCATTCCTTGGTTTGAAGATTTGCACATATCACCCATAACTTTGTTACCTCTAGATTTTAGCATTCAAATACATTTCTGACTGGCTGCTGTTGTTCTACCTCTGTAATGAGGTCATCCAAATATCTGCTGCCCATGTCTCATCTTGCACCAAGTCCCATTCTTCCATCACCCTTATGCTTATTGATCCTGGTTAAGCAACAATTCAATTTTAAAATTTTTGTTTTTAAATTCCTTTATGTCCACATGCCTCCTTATCTCTGTATTCCAGCCTAATATCTATGCTCTTCTAATGTTGGCCTCTTGAGAAACTTTGATTTGCTCCACAAATGACAGCCATACTTTCAGATGCCTGGGCCCTAAATTCTAGAATTCAGTCGTTAAACTCTGACACTCTCTCCACCTATAAAATGCATCTTCTTAGTACCTACCTCTTTGAACAAAGTCTTGGTCATCTGCCTAATGTTTCCTTATGTGGAACAAAAATAAAGTACTGTGGATGCTCGAGATCTGAAATAAAACAACATGCCGGAGAAACTTAGAAAGTCTGATAATGTCTGTGGAGAGTGAAAAACAGTTAATATTTCAATTCAAATATGACTTTTCTTAGAACAATTCTTAAGTAGCTTTGTTGCTTTTCTTTGATGTGAGCAAGTCAACTCTTGTTAGTGGCAACCTTTGTCAAATGTCCATTTTCCAGTGCAAACTTTTTCTCAGATTGCATCTTGTATAAAATTTTCCTCAAAATATTGTACAAGTGTCCCCATATCTGTTGCTTCCACAAGTACCAGGTTTTTAGTGGCTAATTTGAAATAGCGTGCCTATCACTGCTTGGCTGGTCATTCATGTTATCTTGCATTTGTTCCTGATTAGTAAGGGGATCAAGGATTACAGGGAACTGGCAGGAGAATGAGTTTGAGAAACACATCAGCCACGATCGAATTGCAGAGCAGATTCGATGGGCCAAATGGTCTAATTCTGCTCCTATATCTTATGGTTTTATTTGAGGGACAAAGTACAAAAGAATTTTATTTCAGTGGCTGTAATCCTTGAGGCCAGCACAGAAATTCTTTGGCCTCAACTGCTCAACCATAAATATTAAATGACGTGAAATGCTTGCTTCCATCTCCCAAATGAAGACCCAGGAAATGCAGTGTTTATTGTATGCCCTTTTCATTTTCTCGACTTCCTGAGCCAATAGACAACATTTGTAATGCTTTTCACCAAGAATATGATAAACTCTGCCAAACTAGAATATCCATGTGGATGACTGGCATATGTGGCATTGCTGAAAAGGTCTAACTTCATATCTTCTGAGTCACCCAAGGCTGAAAACTTGAATGTGAATTTTTCTGAATTTAATTTCTTTAATGTTTTATTTGCTGTCAAGACTTTCTCAAAACTGGCACATTCACCATTGTACTAATTTCCCATACATCATAACTAGCATCAAGTCTCAGCCAAGTACATAACCAGTTTCACAGTCCAATCAAACTTCTTAACCAGTCTGCTTTTTTCCCAAAATGCAAAATTGCCTTTCTTTGAGGTCCTTTATAAGGATGTGATTAAAACTTTCTAAGTAAGACTGTTGACTCAAAGTCAGTCCCTATTCTGGTTAATATCTAAACCTATATATTTAAAGGTTCCCTGATCCTGACTAGTAATCATAAATGCCATTTTCACTTTATCTATTACACAATGTTCAAATTTCAAACATAGTGGAGCGTATCCACTGACCAAAACCACACAAATAATTGAGTCTGTGACTAAAACATTGATTACTAGTTGAAGCTCCTAGTTAGTGCAATTCCCTCTGCCTGATCAGTATCACTGAGTTGAATCAGGCTACCAACTTGCAGTAAACACATACCAGACTTCTGATAAATTTCACTCCATTACAGTGTTGATTCAACTGCATTTAGAATAATGTGTTTGGCTTTATTGCCCCAATTTAGGGAGAGATATTATTCCTGGAAAAGTCTAGAAACAAAACACCAGAATGAAAGGACTGAGCTGTGACGATAGATTGCATGAAATTAGATTATATTCTCTGGATATAAAGAGTTTAAGAGGAGATCCGATTAAAGTGTATAAAATAATGAAAACATTGGCATAATAGAGCAGGAACAACTCTTGCCTGCAGTTGAAAAGTCAGGATAAGACAATTCTGAAAATTCAATTAATTCAGTTAGAAGTAAATCCCAGAAAAAATTCATACTGAATCGTGAAAATGTGGACAACACTATTCCAGAAAACCACTGGAGCAAATTTATTTCAGGCATTTAAAAGAGAGATAAATGCTCATTTGAAAAGTCATGGAATAAAGAGAGAAAAGTCAAGTGACTAATATTAAAATGATACATCTACTATGGCCAGCAAAAATATCAAGAGTTCTCCTTTTCAAGGGCTACATAAGCAAAAGCATTGAAAGAATCGTTGCTAGACGTGTGTGTCAAAAATAACACACTGATATCAAACCAGTTCCATACATACCTCAATCCAACTTTCTAACTGAATGTGAAAGAATACAAGAAATAAGAACAGGAATAGGCCTTTTCATGCCTATACCATTCAATAAAATTATGGCTGATGTTTTACCTCAATTCCACTTTCATGCCCTCTTCCATATTCCTTTATTCCCTTAGTACAAAAAAAGTATCAATCTCTGTGCTAAATATATTGAACAACAGTGTTGCCAGCATCACATTTGGTGAATTCCAAATGTGCATGACTCTTAAGTGTAGAAATTTCTCCTCATATGAGTCCTAAAGAGTTGAGCCTTTATCCTAAGAGTTGTAGACTCCCCAAGCAGGAAAGCATTCTCCCAGTATTTGTCCTGTAAAGACTTGTAAGATTTTACTTTTCAATGTGATCACCTGTCATTCTGCTGCATCTAAGGGATGTAGCTCATCGTTGGACAATTCCTTCTTCCTGGAACCAGACCAGTGAACTTTCAATGCATTCCCTCCAAAGCATTCCTTTCCTTCCTTAGGTAAGGTTACCAAACATGTACATGGCACTCTAATTTGGTCTTGGCAAGATATTAATTGCAAAGAGATTTAATTTTTTCTTACACATCAATCCCTTTGTCATAAAGGCTAATGTCTCAATGTTTTCTTTTCATTGTTTGCTGAATTTTAGTGTTAACTTTCTGTTATTAATATACAAGGATTACTCAGGTCCCCCCAAATGCCAGCATTCCCTAGTTCCTAACATTCAAAAAAAAGCTAACATTTCTGTTTGTTCTATGGAAGTGGGTAGCAATACTTCTGACATCATATTCCATCCACCAGTGCTTGCCAATTTACTTGAAACGTCTATATTCTTTTATTAACATTTTGCACATATGGAGTGCCTTTTGCTTTAATATTTTTCTCTGTCACTTTGGTCACTAATACACTATTATCTTTGCTAAGTTATCTGTACTACCTTGGCCCACTCTTATTTTTACCCAAATCATTATAATGTTCTACAATCTGAATTTTCTTAGACTGCTTCTGAATTCGCTCTTTCCTGAATCCTATCTCTTATCACTCCTGAGACATCTCAAAGAGAACTGAAATTGCACTCACAGTGATCAGCTGAGGCACTGCTAGAACACTACAATTGATCTTACCCTGGGGAAATAAGGGGAAAACAAACCAGCCATAGTTCCCGCTCAGGATTTCTTCATCAATGTATACGCATAGCACTATCAGGTGAAAACAGGATGAGATCTGACTGTGATGCTGTCCTCTGCTAAACAGCCTGACACTCACTGTTTAGACTTCCACTGTAATAATAAAAGAACGTGTATAGTATCAAAAAGTTGCAAGTACTCATGGAAGCTGTACCCTAGAAAGAATCAGCATCTTTGAACAGGAGTGAGAAAGGAAATCAGATTTAATGAAAGTCTGATTTAATCCTCTGGCCTGCCCATGCCTGATTTATGGTGGCTGGATCAGATACCAGTTCGTTGACCATCATCTCATTTTCTGTGGATGCGTAGTTACTCCCAATAGCTGGGGTTATTGGTAAAGTTACTTTTGGGCTCAGGAGATTCAGGACAGACATCCTCTGAATAGTATAGTTAAGGTTAGCAGATGGGAAAGAATGAATTTACATTATTATACAGCATCCTATCACTACCTCACACATTTCATAATCAATTACTTTTAGGTAGTATTATGCCTATTTGAAAAAATAAGTCAGTTTTCTGCAGAGCAGTCCTATGAATGTCAAATCAGATAATCTATTTTTTTGTAGGTGCTGGTTTACATAAAATTTTGGCCAGAACAGCAGAAGATTTGAGATAATATTTAACATCCATTTAACCCATTGGGAAAAGCAAACTTGGTCTTTGTTCAATTGAATCATCCTCAAAACAGAATATTCAACAATATAGTACTCTTGGTGCTATAAAGTACAGAAATGCTACCTTGGATGTCTTGGAGTTGTGCTTGAACAACAATTTTATAAATGAGTCAATCAACTAAACCAAAATGCAATATGTGGCAATGTTATACATAGGATAATGTAGAGACAGGAGTGCTTCTCATCTTGTATGAGATCATGGATATTTTTCATGCTCAGCCTCCTAATATCAGTGGAATTAAAACTGAGGGAAACATAAAAAAAGCTGATTGTTCACTGTCACCTATTTTACATGATATCACAAAGTCAAAATTACTCCTTAACCTTTCCACAAAACTGATATTCCTGATATCTGTAATCATCTTCCTTGCTAGTCTCAGTACCCGTTCAATATAATTCTGTGTGATGAACAATACACACTATGACCCTGATCAGCTAACTATCCTTTTCAGCAAAATTACAACTTTTAAAGATGTTTTATTTGATTGTTTTATTACCAAACAGCAACATTATGTGAAGGATACAGTGCTGCTGCACAGAGTGGGGAGGCTGATCACTGATGGTGCCTGGGTTAGACGGAAGAAGCCTGCTGATCCTGATGGATGAAAGTACAAGCGAGCCTTTGGAGTAAATACTTGTCCAGTCTTCATTGGCATGAACAGTGCTGGGAAACAGATTTCATCTACCAGGGACAGAAGAAAACATGAATAAATTAACATATGCATATTTATGAGTTCTGATCACTGGTTAATGTGTGTACACATGTACTTTTGATCTGAGATCAATGGCTAGTGATTAGGAGAAGAAACCAAATGTTCTCAGCTAATGGTACAGACCAAATATCAGATTTGACCTCTTAATGGCTCAGACTTTTTAAAAAATGATAAAGGGGGTATCTTTTATCTTTTTCACGAAGACATTTCATTTATGTGATTTGTGGCTGGCAATCCTATAAATATGATTTGCAGTATATTCAACTGTATTTTTTTTCCTCATTAAAACTCTGTGCCTGGTGAGGAAGGAATAATGACTCCCATACACTCCCCAGTACTGTTCTCCCACTGGGACGTATGTGAGTGAAGGTGCATTTCCTCTTTAGGGACTGTGTCTGGCTTCCACATGATCATTACGATATCTGTAAACTGAAAGTTTACCAAGTAGGAAAATACACAACTGAGTCTGTAAGCATTTCCTCAATGCTACATTGCAATTCGGTGCTGAAAAAGAGTCACTAGACCAGAAATGTTAATTCTGCTTTCTCTCCATAGATTTTGCCAGACCTGAGTTTCTCCAACAAATTCTGTTTGTTTCAGGTTTCCAGCATCTGTAGTTTTTTTTTTACTGTACAGGTGAAACTCTCCAATGGAATGTTACAAATTTTTTTTTGCAGAGGCCATCTTCACAAGTAATGACTTGCTAAAGGTTCACTGTTACAGAATTATTATAAACCAACTCGATTTCATCCATTTCTTAAACAGAACATTTTCTCTACTGCCTCCCATAAAATCCAACCTACCGCACCACCTGAGAGACTGCAAATTGAAGCACAGCAATATCTGGATCACAGGGCTTCTGAAGCTGCAAGTACTGAGAGGGAGACTGCAGCTTTAGGAATGCATCAGTACAAACTTCTGCCAAGTTTGACATTTTGTTATGTATATGGCAACCTGGGAAACTAGGAAAAGTTGACTGACAGCTTTAATAACAAAAACACAACTAAGGGTGCTAACAGAGGAGCAAGAAAGCTGACGTTTCAGGTTGGGACTCTTCTTCAGATTTCTGAAGAAGGGTCCCAACCCGAAACGTCAGCTTTCCTGCTCCCCTGATGCTGCCTTGGCCTGCTTGTTATCTCAGACTCCAGCATTGGCAGTTCTTACTATCTCTAAGGAATAGCTAACAGCCCTGAATATGGAAATTGGAAGTAAGAGCTTTAAATTATGATAACAAGGATATGGTGAGGGGCTGGAATTATAGTGTGGTTGTGGGGCAGGGGAACAGAACCTAGTTTGCTCCAGAAATGGATGAAAAGCTGTTTTGGCTGCCTTCATTGCATTGCACAGATAGTTTGGGAATGTGCCTAGGTGTGGTCCTGGGAATTCTGACTGAAGCGTCCTGATAAGATCAGCAGGATATATGTCTGCCAAGTGCAGTGAAGATCCCAAGAATTGCAACAATAATTTACCACAAGAGACACTGACTACAAGAACAGTCTTATCATACTGCTAGAATCCACATAAAACTAGAATGCACGTTTATTTTCAGACTCATCCAAATTCAACATCCAATCCTCAGTCATAGATGCCTGCTTTTATTCGTTAAATTACCTTGTACCTGAGATTAGGATCAGTGAGGGAGTGAATATTGTAACATTAAGGGAACATGGTGTTACAATGGTTGCTGCATTCAAACCCCTTGAAACAAAGCTGGGGTTTGTTGTAAGGTTTTCAACAGGGCACCCAAAAACAGTTCAAGGGTCACTGGATCACAGTTCCAGCGCCAAAGTTGGTTTTAGTTTGAATCCAAGAGAGAGTCAGGAGCAGGCCTGTTCCATGCAGGAAAAGTGCTGCAGTTAGCTGTGCTGCTGCGAAGTCAGCTAACTTTACTGGCTTTGTGTCATTGAGGCTCAAGAAGACATCTCAGGAGTTACTTGATAGCTCAGAAAAGTCCTTGAAGCCAGAAGGTGGAACTATGTGTCAGGGTTTGGGTTGAGTAAAAACCCTGGCAGTGCTGGGGCTTCATAAGAAACCCGTAGAATATGGCATGAATGTTAATATCAGGATTTGGAGTCAGAGCTCCAGCTAAGACAAATTCGCGAAGCCATTTACATTTGAAATGGACCCAGCACCCATGTTACCATACTGTAGTATGAGATACTGACTTAAAGAGAGATGGACAGTTGGGCAGCGAAGTAGTAATCAAAATCTTGATTATCTTTTAATTTGTGAAAAGTATTTTGCCAGAGCACAATATTTTGCTTCTGTTGCTATTTTCTCTGTTGTCTAAGTGCCAGTGAAGCCTTTTCTGAACCAAAAGCTGCTTTTCAAGGTTCTGACGAGTCTCACACTGAAGCTTTTCAATCATATCTTGTTTATTTCTCCACATGTTTTCCTCCAGCACTTTCATTCTCTCCCAAACCTAAAACACAACACCACACTCTTTACTGCAGTGCAATGGTTTACATATCCTTTTTTTTCACTATAGAAACTCAGGTCTGAATCTAGTCCAAGATGATGGACCTTCATCCATTGACTGCAAGAGTCTTAGTGATGTGAATTTGGACAATTCCACATCAAAATACTAATGCCTTATTCAGCTTCAATGTGACAATCTCATTCAGACTGATGAAAGGTAGGGAATGTAAAAATGTTACAGGAAGTTGCAGCAGAATAGACAACATTCATACAGAAAAGGTTTCTGGCTATCTTTACTTTTGTGTTGAAAGATTCCTGCTCTGAGACAGCAGCTCTTCTACTATTCTCCACCTCTCTTATCCTTGTCAATATGCTGGCGAAGCAGCAACCTATTCTGTTCTCCCACTCCAGACAGCATTATTTAATGAGGGAATGCATCAGACATCAGAAAGAACAGCAAACTTTGTTTTAACCGGCATTTTATCAGCTGGCTCAGTCGATAAACCAGCAAAAATTATATAGCTCAAATACCATGAAGTTTACTCTATTATTCCGTCCAATTATTATAGTTTTTTTAAAATTACTTACATCAATGTAAATATATTTGTTGTTCAATTGAATAGCCATATGAAATAACAACAGTTAATTCAATTTTGAGTCAATTTCTCCACAAATACCACAATCTACCGTGATGTGAGTAGTCAGTTGAGGGTGCGAGACAGAAGCCTCTCTGCTGGTAAGTTTTATTTAAGGTAAAGTTGCATTATTATTTAAGTGATTTATGCTGTAAATAAAGTATAACGGTGATGTTTATAACCTATGCTTTACCTTTCTATTACTTAGTGTACGTCTTACATTGATTACGTGGACCATTTGATTATTCAGAATATTTGATCAACTGGCACACTCCTGGTCCCATTGGTGTCAGTTAATAAAACGTTTGCTGTACCTAGATGGAATTGTGATGAAATTTTGAAAGAACCAAGAAAAGTTATGAATTAATCTTTGATGATTCCTGCTAGGATATTTAATTTCATCCTTTGGTGCAATGATAGATTGCTACTCCTGATATAATTATCTGACTTAACCATCTCAAAGTTAAATTATCATTATTGTTCCACATCTACTTCAGCCATAAGATGGAAGACTATCTCGTTTTCTTGACATAAAAATAAAGCCTAAAATCAAAAAAGTAAATAGTAGAAAATCATTTCATTTACTCCCCACTTACATCCTGTGGAAGTTTCCTCTTCAACAGCAGGGTCTCACTCACACTCATCTTCTGTTGCTTTTTTGCAGTACTGTGGGCACAATGAGAGAGAAATCTACAATAGGGCAGACAAGCACAGAGTGTGTGAAACAACTAGAGCCAGATCTTTCTACAATTGATGAGAAATAACGAGAATGTGACTACAATGACAGATGACCGGATGACAGATGGAAGGACAAGTTTTCAGATATGTGGATTGTAAAATCCTTATTAGCATAAAAATAGATAAATACACACCACCCAATGTGTTATTACATTCTGAAAAGTAACAAGGTTCAAATTCAATTCCCAGTCTGTGCTGTGTTATGATGTGGAGGTGCTGGTGTTGGACTGGGGAGGACAAGGTAAAAAATCACACAACATCAGGTTACAGTCCAACAGGTTTGTTTGAAAACACAAGCTTTTGCAGTCGCGCTCACTAACACCTGAGAAAGGAGCAAAACTCCGAAAGCTTGTGCTTTCAAATAAACCCGTTGAACTATAACCTGGTGTCCTGTGATTTTTGACCTTGTGCTGAATTAGCTCTTAACTTAGGTAAAAGTTGGAGGCACTAAATTTATATGAAACATTCCTAGCATGGAGGCATACTAAATTAGGTAGGATTCCCATTACAGATTAAAAGTGCCAAGTGGCATCTTCCAGCCATAGGGTACAAGTCTACCATACGTACAAACCCTCTGCTCCAAGTTTCCCTCCCATCAGGAAACACGAATGGTATTGTCTACCTCTTTGCAGTGACACAGCACAGTTTGAGAGCTGTAATGGATATCACCTCTGTTCTACCACTTCAAGCCATATACAATGGTGACTTTTTCCCCCAAAATTTCCCTTTAAATCTCTTACTCATCCCTTCTGAAGATATTGACTCATTTTCTGGGTGCAGCTACAAGGCCAAATTACCATCATCCATGCATGAGTTTGGTACCTGTAGCATCGAAATCCCAAACACTATAGAACTGAATTTTGTCGTCCAAATGTTCCACCTTTTAAATCATTGAAACTATTCAAATGAAACTTTATAATCTGATTCCTATCTTTTTATTCTTCATAATTAAGTGGCACCAATTTCTCACCTTTTCTGTGGTGGGTTTGGACAGGCTAGTGATGATCTGGAATCTCGAGCTGAGCAACTGAATCTTTCCTTTATCTCTGTGCCACTACACTGGCTCTCAGTTGTCAATTGAACATTCTCTGATCTCAGCAACTTCTCTGGCTCATCTGCTTAAAAATACAAACTTTGTTTAGTTTACAGCAGTCACTTCAACTTTAGATAAATAAACATAAAATTAAATGTAATAAATGAATAAAAGCACATTTCTGTAAGAAGCTCAGTCTGTTAACCTCAATCCTCAGTGGTTAGCACAGCTGCCTCACAGCACCAGGGGCCTGAGTTCGATTCCACTCTCAGGCGACTGTCTGTGTGGAGTTTGCACGTTCTCCACGTGTCTCCGGGTGCTCCGGTTTCCTCCCACAGTCCAAAGATGCGCAGGCTAGGTGGATTGGCTGTGCTAAATTGCCCACAGTGTTCAGGGATATGTAGATTAGTTGGGCTATAGGGGGATGGGTCTGGGTGGGATGCTGTGAGAGTCAGTGAGGACTTGTTGTGCCAAAGGGCCTGTTTCCACACTGGAGGGAGTCTAAGTCAAATGTTGAATTCTGTTCCAGGGCATTTGTAACAATGGGTGAGTTGGAGGTATTCATCTCAAAGAATAAATAAAACATCTCGAGATAGGAACAGGTTACAAAGGCACTTCAAACCCTGTTAATTCATCTGTCCAGAAAAGAAAGAACAATTGCAATGTTGAGCTCCAGCTTAATCAACTTCTAAGATTTTTATCTCCAGCCACTCCAGGTGTTGATCACTCTTCATACAAAGAAATTCTATCAGATATCATTCCAAAAATCCGTTTAATGACAGATTGAACCTTAGCTCCCTTATCCCACTGGCATGATGTACATTTGAGTACTGTTGAGATTTTGAGTTTTCTATATCATATAATATTTTCTGATATGCAGTTACCATAAGTCCTTATGTTTCCTGTCTTTCCTCAAACTAAATTACCTACTTTCAGGGTCAGAGAAGTGACTCCTCTCTGATCCATCTCAGGTTTTGAATTTTTTTCTCTTGTGTTTTAAGTGATCAAAACTGGACATAATACTCAAGGTGCAGTATGACTCAAACATTTAAGTTTCAGTGGAAGTGATTCAGATGTTGACATGTTTATTCAGTAATACCCTGTCAGGACACTGTCTTTTGATATGGCTTCATGTTAATTGCAAATCTACAAAAATGTCAAAACTTTAAACTACATTTTAAACTCTTTTCACACTTTATGCAGATTCCAGTACCCCTTTTTTGCTTTTCATGTGGACAACATGATTGTTGGTATTAAATCTGTGTTAATACATTTCAATCAATACATTTACAAAATACAACATTTTAAATAAAGCTTTATGTGCTTTAAAATTGCACTGAAACTGGAAGTATCTATCGCTCTGCACCAGACTTACTATTTTGATGCAGCTCAGACTGCACTCCTCTTAACCTGGGACCTCAATACAGGGATTGCGAGTATGTATTTACAAAAATGTATCACCATAATGGATGACACAGAGGAATAGCTGCCAAATTTTCAACTGGAAGAATGAGATTTTCGGCACTGACTTTTTATTTATGATTGGATGTATTATGACCTGAGCACTACTTTGCACACTGGCCAATATATGAATCCACTTCAAACCATGGTTGATAAATGAGAAAGTTTGAGAACTAAAGTTGACTAAGTATAGGGTGGTTTAAACCAGCATTAATATAAGGGATAGATTATTTGATCATTTTCACTTTGTTCTGCACAAATTGACTGCTTTGTATATGAAGATATTCTTACATTAACTGCAAAAGTACTTAAATGACTGCAAAGAATTTTGAACCATCCTAATTTCATGACAGACGCTATGCTGTATAAAAAAAAGCATCCTTCAGGTTGTGCTCCTCGTTTTACTGAGCAACACAACTGACAGGACAACAGATCAACTGACAGGCATCTCCATGATAATTTTCATTTTGTCCCAATATTGCAAACAAATATACAAATCACGTGCAATACACTGGTGAATAGTAGGGTAACCATTTTTTAAACAAAATATTGCATCAGATCAAGCTTAAATATAATGATGAATGCCTGGAAAAATGATGTTTTTCTAACTAAGACAACTTAATCACTCAAACTTTCTCCTCCATCCATCCCTGAATGTGTTCATTGATGCTGGTAAAATTTGGTCGCTGTCATCATCACTCTGCAATCACACTGACTAAGTGTGTGTCAACAGTCTTTTTTGCTTTGGAAGATTCACAACAAAGCTCAAGTTGTTCTCTGCAGCATCTACTCATGCATACTTACCAGAAAGGACTACTGAATCTGACTGATTCATCTTCTCACTTTTGAGACACCTAGGCCAATTCTGGCATCTTATTTTATCCTGGTTAGGAACTACTAACATCAAACTGCCCAGGAATTAACTGTTGGTTTCTTATTTAGCAATACGATGGTGAGTAATGATGAAAACACAAGCGAATTCCCATTGTTTTGCAATCAGATGAAACATAAGCTGTACCTCTGTGTCGATGAGAAGTTAGCTGGAGACAAATGGTAAATAAATGTTCAAAATAAATAGACACAGCAATTACTACTGAATGATACCTGGAGAAGCTCCAGAGTGAAATTCTTAAATAGTATGTGCGAAACAAAGTTAACGCACTGCAAGAACATAACAGAAATTAGAAGGCTCTGCTACTGCATCCAGCAATAAATAGCATCCACATTGGGGAAGGACGAATGAGTAAAGAAGGAAAATTAAATTTTGAGGCCATTGTGCTAAATGTTCTCTTGGGTTCAGCTCCACCATGTGCACGATGTTCCACCAGCAAATTGACATTATGTCCCCTCTGACCTAGTTTTCTTCCCAACGTCTAAGTAAATAATAATATGGTCTAGGATCATAATATTATAAGCTATTATTAAATACTTTACAATGTGGCACTTAGACAAGTTCATGCAGAGTCAACTTGGTCTGATCAAAGTGAAATCATGTTTAACTAATTTATTGGAGTTCTTTGAAGAAGTAACTTGTGCTGTGGCTAAGTGGATGTACTGCACTTAAATTTCCAGAAGACGTTTGATAAGGTGCCTTATCAAAGATTATTATGGAAAATAAATGTCAATGGTCTTGGGGGTAACATACTGGCATGAATCAAAGATTGCTATGTGAACAGAAAGCAGCAACTAGGAATAAATGGGTCTTTTTTAGGCTGGCAGAATATCATAAGTGGTGTGCCACAGGGACTAGTGTTGGGGCTTCAACTCTTTACAGCTTTGATTTGGACAAAGGGATCAAAGGGATGGTAACTAATTTTTCTGATGACACAAAATTAAGCATGAAAGTGAGTTGTGAAGAGGACATAAATTCACTAGATTAATTCTAGTTTTCCATAAATTCACTCAGTTCACAAGACTAATCCTACAGATGAAAGGTTTGTTTTATGAGGAAAGATTGAGCAGTGTAGGCCTACACTCATAAGAGTTTAGAAGAATGAGAAGAGATTTAATTGAGATATATCAGATATTAAAGCAAATTGACATAGTAGACAAAGAATGAATGTTTCTCCCTGTGGAATAATCTGGAACAGGTGGTCATGGCTTTAAGCTAAGGGGTGGTAGATTTAAAACAAAGATGGGGCAGAATTACTTCTCTCAAAGGAATGTGGAATCTGTGAAATTCAATAAGATAGGGTTTGGTGGATACCAGGACATTGAATAAATTTAAGGAGGATACAGATAGATTATTTTAATTAGGAGCAGGTTAAAGGGCTATGAGGAGTGAGCAGGAAAGGGGTTAAGTCTGAGATGAGATCAGCCATGATCATATTAAATGGTGGAGCAGGCTGAAGGGGCTGACTTGCCTACTCCTTTTCCAAGTTCTTAAAAGGAGCACATAAAGGGATATAGATAGGTTAATGATTGGGCAAAGATCTGGCAAATGGAGAATAATGTGGGAAAGTGCATTTTGGCTGAAAAAATAAAAAAGAAGCATATTATCTAAATGGTGAGACGTTGCAGAACTCTGAGATGCAGTGGGGTCTAGACATCCTGATGCATTAATTGAAGAAGATTAGTATGCAGGTACAGCAAATAATCAGGAAATCTAACAGAATTTCATGTTTTATTGAGCAGAATTGAGTGCAAGCATTCTGTTATAAAGGGCATTGCTAAGTACTGTGTACAGTGCTGGTCACCATACTTATGGAACTATGTTAATGCATTGGAATCAGTTCAGAGAAGCTTTACTAGTTTAAAAACTGGAATCAGCAGATTGCTTTATGAGAAAAAGCTAGGCCTGAATCCTCTTGAGTTTGGAAGAATCTGAGGTGACTGAATTGAAACATCCTGAGGAGGATTTGATCCAGTGGATTTGGAAAGGATGTTTCCTCTTGTGGGAGAATCTAGAACTAGAGGTCATTCTTTAAAAGTAAGAGGTTGGCCATTTAAGACAGAGATGAGGATTTTTTTCTCCCAGTGGGTTGAGTGACTTTGGGATTCCCTTCCATATAAGACAGTCAATGCAGAATCTTTATGTATTTTAGAGTCGAAGTCAATGGATAGATTCTTGATTATTGGGGGATAAAAAATTATGGTAATATGCAGGAATGTAGAATTGAAGTTAAAATCAGATCATGATCTTATTGAATGGCAGAGCAGGCCTAAACAGCCACGAGGCCCACTCTTGTTCCTTCTTCGTACATTCTTACAACAGAGAATTCAATTCTGTACGGGGCTTTGAGAATACATCTGACGTCTTCCTGTGTATTTTTCTCTCCCAGTGGTGGGTAGGCCAAACTCTTACAAAATCAAGACATGGGCTTTGAACCAATACTTGGGCTAGAATCTTCTCAGGTACTGAAAGACATAGACATTGGTGAAAAGGTTGAAAATATTGCGTGGACTTAGCAGTGAGGAGCTACCCACCATTGAAGCCCCATTTCCCAAGCAAGTGTTGCCTGGTGAGACAAGGATCCTGCTAGTTAGCAGCAAGAGTTTTATTTGCATCCATTAGCATGCACTAGAATGCAATAACTCATTATTGTCACCTTGTCTCATTGATATGCAGTTTCCCTTTCTCCCACCTGTTGCATCGAAAGTAAATGGGTAAAATCATGACAT